AAGCAATGAGTCCACTTTACATCCCAGTCGGTGGTTCTCAACCTTCCTAATGCTGCGACTCTTTAATACAGTTCCTCATGCTGTGATGATCCGCCAACCATAACAGTATTTCCGTTGCTATTTCATAACTGTAATTTTGCTACTGTTATGAATCATAATGCAAATATCTGATATGCAGATATATCTGCTATGTGATCCCTGTGAAAGGGTTGTTTGACCCCCAAAGGGGTCACAACATACAGGTTGAAAACCAATGATCTGAATGAATGCTGTATGACTGAATTATGGCCAATAGAACATGTATAGGAATCGTGTATATCATTTCCAGCTCCCTGAAAACCTCTTGCACCGTCTCCCACATTTTTTCTTACTCTGGATAACACACTGATACATGTTAAAAATGGAAGAGCTGGGACTAGTGAGGTGGCTCAATAGATAAGGGCAAGTTGTCTCCAAGCTTGATAATCTGAGTTCAATCCCCAGACCCATATGTTGGAGGGAGAGAACCAACTCTTACAAATTGGCTACACACACACACACACACACACACTATTTTTTAATGTCATACTTCTGAGTGTAGATCTCTGGGTGACTGAAAGGATACCACCCCCATGAATCACCACCATGGCTGCCAGCTGCTCTATATGCCACGAAAAAGTCAATTGCTCCATTAAACCACTGAGGCTAAGGCAAGTCTTATGGCAGCTGGTGCCAACATAACCTCTTCTGAATTAGTTACTGTTAGCTCTTAGGGAATCCATGTGTTCAAAAATGACAATCTTGGTTTAAATCAAACTGAACGCTAGATTTGTGGAGATTGGATAAAAGCCAGTATTCCTCAGGAATTTGTGAAACAGGTTTCCTTTAGCCTTAGAGTTAGGGTTAGGGTGTAAAACTATTCCTGCGACAAATACCCAAGCCCAGGTGCAAATACATGAACTGTGGAAGCAGGTTCCTACTTTGACATACTACTCATTGAACCTTGGACAAATCACTTAACTGCTCTGCTTCCCTTTCCTCCTGGATGCAAAAAAGAAATGTCAAATACTTATTAGGAGCTTATCACAAATTAGCATTAAGAAAACACTTAGCATAGTGTCTGGTACACAGAAACGACACATGCCTGAAGATCAAAAAATTTCAAAACTGTTTCTTCTTTTAACCTTTCAGATTTTGGTTTGGTTTGGTTTGGTGTTTTTGGGAGAGTCTCATGTAGCCAAGGTTGGCCTCAAACTTACTAAGGCTGCCTTTGGACTCCTGATTCTCAGCTGGGCGGTGGTGGTGCACGCCTTTAATGCCAGCGCTTGTGAGGCAGAGGCAGGCAGATCTCTGTGAGTTCATAGGCCAGCCTGGGCTACAAGAGCTAGTTCCAGGACTGGCTCCAAAGCTACAGAGAAACCCTCTCTCAAAAAAATAAAATAAAATAAAAAATAAACCTCCTGATTCTCTTGCCTCCCAAGCACTGCAATTACAGACTCGAGCCATGCTGTCCATCTGGTGACTGACAGCCTGTGCCCATGACTTTAGCCCTTTGGATGTCCTTTCTTTACTACATGAGCTTGTCCCTGGACATGAGACATTTTCAGAGCACGTTCCACTCAGGCCAGTAGGTACTTTGACCCTTATGGATTTGGGGGTGTATTAGCTTTAGGTGGATCATTAACTCCAGGAAGAATGGTCACCCCTGGACCCAAATGTTTTTTGCTTACAGGCCCGAAGAAGAGATTGCTCAATCTACTTTCTGGACATTTCTGTGCATCTATTCACCTGTTTGATAAATGCGTGAGTCCTATATCAGATATCATTACCAGGCACCATAGCCTAACCCAGGATTAGAATGGTGAAGGTTTCTTCTTCAAATGTTCATGGTTAAATTGGGAGAACAGAAAGTTCCAAGCTAGACTGGGTGCATAGCAAGACCCTGTCACCTGACCAAAAAAAGAAAAAAAAAACTAGAGAAAGGATAAAATTCAAAGATAGTCAATAGAGCAAAAATCAATGAAATAACATGAGTGTACAATACAGAAAAATCAACAAAGCCAGAAGTTTGTATGTGGGAGCTGTTATTTACATGTATGTGTGTGCCTGTTTGAGTCGTACACTGTGAGTGTAGGAGCTTTGTCTGTCTTGGAACTCTGTAGACCAGGCTGACCTTGAACTCAGAAACGTGCCCCCCCCCCCCAGCTGGGATTAAAGGTGTGCACCACCACGCCCAGCTAAAGAGAATTTTGTATTTTTAAATCTCCATTTCTAACTTCCCATGGGGGTGCTGGGAATCAAATTTGAGTCCTCTGGAAGAACAGCCAGTGTTTGTAACCTCTGATCCACCTCTCCAGCCCCTTTGCTTGGGTTTTGAAATCGGATGCCAGAATCTGAACTCACTCACGTCCTCATACACGCACAGTAAGCGCTCAGCTGACTGAGCCATCTTTCAGCCTCTACAGGAATTTCATTTATTTATTTATTTATTTATTTATTTATTTATTTATTTATTATGTATACTATAGTCTATCTGTATTTATGCCTGCAGGCCAGAAGAGGGCACCAGACCTCATTACAGATGGTTGTGAGCCATCATGTGGTTGCTGGGAATTGAACTCAAGACCTTTGGAAGAGCAGGCCATGTTCTTAACCGCTGAGCCATCTCTCCAGCCCCAGGAATTTCTTAAAAGATGATATTTGGCTGAAGTGATGGCTTAGCTGCAAGGACACTGGTGGTTCTTCCCGAGGACTCAGGCTTGATTTCTAGCGCTCAAAGTGGCTAATAGCCATTGGTAACTCCAGGATCCGGTGGCCTCCACAGGTACACAAGTGGTGCATAGACATTCAGACAGCCAAAACGCTCAAACACAATAAATAAAAGACAATACTTCCCTATGCTCATATTTAAAATATTAGAAAAGTATGACTATTTCTATAGCTAAAAATCAATCTGGGTGTGGCGATGCACATCTCTAATCTTAGCTGCTTGGGATCTTGAGGCAGGAGGATCATGAATGTGAGACTAGTTTGGGCTTCATAGTGTGATCATGTCTCAGAGCAGAAGTGAAGGACTGACCAATTATTCTTTGGTGCAGCTCTTGCCTAGCACATCTAAAGCCCTGTGTTTAATCCAGGGTACCCCAGAGAGAGGAGGGGAGGGGACAGAGCTTAGTGTGTCATTGAAAACAAACAAAGTTCTAAACTCAGGGGACGTCATCGCTGATGCCTTATGCACATTTAAGGAAAAGGGAATTGCTATTCTTATGTAATCTTTTCCAGAGAAGCAGAGGTAACATTTGTCAGTTCAGAAGTCCTTGCGATGTTAAAGCACAAGACACACAGACATGAGAATGAAGAGGAACTGCAAGATTCTCTCTCTCTCTCTCTCTCTCTCTCTCTCTCTCTCTCTCTCTCTCTCTCTCTCTAAAAGAGGTGTTTTCGTTTTGGTTGTGTTCAATAAAAGATATAAGAATGTATATCTTAGAAGCACCGAGAAGAAACTTAGATTTAACAAAATAACTTAGCAAAACCACCAGGTTCAAACTCAATGCGCAAAGACCGTGAGGTTTTCTGATGAGTCTTTTATTTATTTTCTTTTTTAAGATTTACTTTTAATTATCTGCATATGCACATGAGTGTGAGCACCCACGGAGGCCAGAGGTGTCGGATTCCCCCTGTTGCTGGAGCTGCAGGTAGTTGAGCTCTCTGACATGGATACTGGAATTGAAAACTCTGATCCTCTGGAAAAGCCGAGTTCTTAACCACTGAGTCATCTCTCCAGCCCTATTTGCTTGTTTTTTTGAGACAAGGTCTCCAGCCTAGTCTGGCCTCCAATACAATTTGTAGCTGAAACCTTGGTCCCCTAATCCCACTGCCTCCACCTTAACAATGCTGGGATTTCAGGCAGGTGCTTTCACACCAGGCTCTGGTTTTGTTTTGTTTTGTTTTCAGATCCTAGCAGCACATATAAAATGAAATTAAAATTTTGTTTCTGGCGGCACTATCTGTAAGAATTGAAACCTGGTACTACAACTATCAGGGTGAGAGATGGAGTATTCTCCAATCACACAGTATGGAACAATATGCCACTCAGAGAACTGGCGGACAGCTAGCTACACACCTCTGCTTGGGTGAATCGCACCAGTTTAACCTTGAGTGAAAGAAGCCAGACTTTTTGCATTGTGTGATTTCATTTCTACAGAGTTCAGAAGTGGGCAGACTTTAGTTTCTGTTACAAGTCCAGGTAGGAGATGCTCTGCAGGGAACCGGACTCCTAACGTGGGGCTGGTTCTGTGGGAGGCTTCTCAGTAATAACTAATTCCGCTGTGCTTGCAGGATTCCTTGTAGACCTACTATATTTTAATTAGAAGATTTTTTGTTTGTTTGTTTTGTTTTGTTTTCTGGTGTTTTGAGACAGGGTTTTTCTGTGAAACAACTCTGGCTGTCCTGGAACTCGTTCTGTATTCCAGGCTAGCCTCGAACTCACAGAGATACGCCAGCCTCTGCCTCCTGAGTGCTGGGATTAAAGGCATATGCCACCACTGCTCAGCTAATTCAAAGTTCTTAAAATTTTATTTAAAATTATCAGATTTTTCCTAGGCAGAGATCATACTGTGGGACAAGGATGCTTCTGTGAAGGCGAGAAACACTATGAGGGTCAGAGTTGTGCCTGATCCAGGTCTCGACCAACTGGGACAACACTACTAGTGTGTGTGGTGGGATGGTGGGGAGAGGGGGACTACGGACTGCTGGACTATGTCACAGAAATGGCAGTGCCACTGGCGGTGGTAAGACAGCAGGAGGACCACTGCTTGGTCAACCCAGAGTCCTTAGGGAGAAGTGAGAATCACCGAAAGAAAGTTGTGTTAAGGTCGCATACATGTGCACATCAGGTTCCCTGAGAACCACTGTTTTCACCCAGGGACCCAGGCTAGCGGTCTCCAGCAGCCTGGGTTTCTGCTTGGCCAGATAAGGAAGGGATGGAGGGTGTGGCGGTGGCGATCAGCCCGGACTGGGACTGAAGAACCTTTCCCAGTAGGCAGATTCGTCAGTCAACCTTCCGCCTTCTGTGTAAAGCGCACCTAGGCTGCGGAAAGCGCAACCAAGACAGAGCTGAGAATGAGGTTGGTTGTCTGCGCCCTCCTATGCGCGGGGACCCTAGGTGAGTGTGCTGAGAGCCAGGCGGGGTGCCGGCTCTCCCAGGTTCTATGGGGGAGGGGACCAGGTGTCACTAGCTGGCCAGCCGCCTCGGGGACCCTGTACTGTGGCCGGACAGACTATGATCCCAGGGAAGAGCAATCACTCTGGATTGGAATGCACCTGCCACATACTGCTGTACAACCCCCGGGGCTGCCCTTTGCCCCCTTTAAGCTGATTTCGTTGTGTAAAACTCCGGTTTACTGCTTCAGCGGCAAAAGGCACCAATAACTTGACTGATCACATAAGATCCCCAGAACCCATATGGTTGGTGGGAACCAACTCCTGAAAACTGTCCTCTGACCTCCACACATGGCATCCACATGATACAGATATTTTTTAAATGTTGTGTTTACGCCCCCCCCCCCCCGAAAAATAGTTGCTGGAAGAATGAGGTAACGTGGCTAGAGGCAGGCAGAATTCTAAACACATAAATGCCGGAGGCCCTTTCTTGGGTCGGGAGAGTGAGCTCCTTCCTCCAGGGAAGGACTCGTGTGCAGAGAAGAGCCCTCCCTGGCTCAACCATGATTGGATCATCCTCCCCTTAGCTTTGCCTGGTCTGAGGCTGTGGTAAATGATATCTAGGGTAGACATCTTACTTGAGGTGGAGGGTAAACAGAGCCAAGCTTGGAGAAGAGGCAGCAGCAATGGCGGGGACTTTGTGCCTACCTGCAGCACCGAGGGAATCAGTCTCTCCCAGAATGCAGCTGTGCGGTCTCTTTCCCAATTCTCCTAAACAGGATTTGTGTTCATTGTTCTTCCTGCCTCATCTCCTGGCAATTTTGGCACTGACCAAAAGAGCTCATTTTCCCAAAAGGCTTTGTGTTTACATATCAGAGGCTAGAGATGTCCCTCTAGATCCCATTCCCTCATGACCTGTCTCCAGGCCACCAGATCAGGGGCTGGAGTCTGTGCTCCTCAAAATGCAGTGTTCCAGTCCAACAAGTGACAAAAAGCAAGCAAAACAGCTTACCCAGGGGACAGGTGACAGAAAGGACACATATCCTAAGCCTTGCCCAAGAACTTTCTCCATTTAGTGAGTGAGCAGAAGGCCACCACAGCCCTTCCCTTCAGTCTGAAAGAGTCCCAGAGTGCTCAGACTGCCTCTTTTTGCTTTTGTCAGGTGGCCAGTGGTGGACTGCTGTTCACAACACACCTGTCTGACTCCACCCACCCTTAGCTTGTTTGTATACAGTCTCTTAAACACATTTCTATTTGTCAAGCCAGAGAAGTGATGGGCCAGTAACGCACAGGCTGCGAATGAGTTTACCAAAGACAGAAGAAAGGAGAAGTAGAGTTTATTAGCTATACCGCGGTACAGCCAGTATGGGCAAGACAATAGAAACTGTCTGCACAGAGGTAGTCTAAGAAGCTGTGTGTGTGTGTGTGCGCGCGCACTTTTATGTAGGCAGTCAGGCAGCATTTCAATGTGACAGTGTCCTGGAAGTGGCAGTTGAGGATTATCAAGCAACAGCTTGACCTTGAGGTCATGATGATCTTGCTGTGATTTAGACGTGACTCAGCACAACTCCCAGTCCTAAAGTGACTGTCCGCCTAGCCCGTTGTGCCCCACGAAGAAGGAGAGGGACAGCACTTATGGGTGCCAAAGACTTTACTAACTCGCCACATAAGCGGTCACTGACGATCAGGGCTACAGGACGAGGACTCGGGAGAGCCTCGTTTCTCCTGGCAGTCCTGAGCAGGGACAGAAGCAGGGGTTATAAGCACAAAACCCACAACGCATTTGCTGCCAAGTTACAGGTTACAATTTTCACCAATCAGGATTTAGAGATTAGGAGCTTCCTTGAGAGCTCCATCACTGTCAACCGACATCCAATGCAAGTCTTTCAGTCCAACCAATCTGATTCGTTTGTTCCTTCTGGGGTCAGGAGCAGCCATAATGTTTCTAGAGAGCTAAAGATGCGTAACAGCTGCTTCTATGATTTAGGGAGGAGGGTGGTCAGCTGTTGGATGGTTCCCAGCTCCCCTAGGGTTTGGGAACCTGAACTCTATTTCACCCTGCAGGTAAAATGGAGTCTGGAGTCATTATGGCAGTACTTAGGTCAAGGTGCATGATGAAGTCTTCGTCACACGACAACAGTCCTGTTCAGAGGCAATAGTGGCCTTGCTCTGAGCCTACCCTGCTTTGAGACCAAAGCAGCTTTGTTCCCAGAATTCAGTTCTGTCTTCCCCCCACGTACCTAAGTTCTGCCCTATCAGCAGGTCATGGCAGTTTCTTTATTCATTAATGGTATTCAAGCCTACAGAGAGAAATACCACATCGTGTGTGTGTATGTGTGTGTGTGTGATTTATGTGTGTCATGTGTATATGTGTGTGAGTGTGTTTGTCATTATGTGCACCAGTTGTGTGCAGTGCCTCTTGGGGCCAGAAGAGAGCGTCAGATCCTTTAGAACTAGAGACACAGTCCGATGCCTGGTATGGATGCTGGGAAACCAACACTAGCTCTGAAAGAGGAGCAAGTTCCTCTAACTACTGAGCCATCTTTCCAGTTCTATCAGCTAGCTCTCTAATACAACCCGTGTCCATCTGCCTAGGGATGGTGCTGCCCACGGTGGACTGAACCCTCCCATGTATGTCATGAATCAAGACAATCTCTCACAGACTTGCCCCAATCTGATCTCGGCAATTCTTCAACTTGGGATCTCTCTTCCCAAGTTTTATCAAGTTGGCAATGAAAAACTAACCAGCACTATTTTCATCACTTCAGAAGAGAACTTGGCCCCCATCGAGTGAACAGCAATGGTTTCTTTCTCCCCTCAGCACATGGGAATGAGCAATTTGCTTTCTTTAGAAAAGAATTATCTTTTTGAGACAGGATCTCATGCAGTCCAGGCTGACCTCAATATGTAGCTGAGCTGTCTGTCTCCACCTGAAGAGCTTGTATTGTACACATGCACCACCATGTCTAGTTCATGTGGTGCTGGAGATCAAACCCAAGGTTTCTTGCATGCTGTGCAAGCATTCTACCAACTTAGCTACACCCTGGCTTTGTTTTTAGTTTAGTTTTTTTTTAAAAAGATGTATTTACTTTATATGTGTGTCAATGTCTCTGTGTGTGTTTCTTTCATGTACAGCCTGTGGACCATGTGTGTACCTGGAGCCTTAGGGAGGTCAGAAGAAGGTATCAGATCACTTGGAGCTAGAATGTCTTAGGGCTTCTGTTGCTGTGAAGTGACACCGTGACCATAGCAACTCTTATAAAGGAAAACATTTAATTGTGAAGTTTCACTTGCAGTTCAGAGGTTAGTCCATTATCGTCATGGCAGAAAGCAAGGCAGCATGCAGGCAGACATGGTACTGAGACATGGTACAATACAAGAAGGAACTGAGAGTTCTTACATCTTGACCAGCAGGCAGCAGGAAGTGGTCTGAGACACTGCATGTGGCTTAAACATATAAGGGACCTTAAAATCCACCTCCACAGCGACATGCTTCCTCCATCAAGGCCACACCTTCTCCAGCGAAGACACATCTTTTAATAGCAGCACTCCCCATGAGCTTATGGGGGCCAATTACATTCAAAATACCACAAGCAGTTACAAACAGTTGTGAGCCACCATGTGGGTGCTGGGAACCAAAGCTGGGTCCTCTGCAAGAGCAGCCAGTGCTCTAATCTCTGAGCCCTCTCTCCAGCCCCTTAGTTTTTTGTTTGTTTGATTATTTTGAGATAGAGTGCTTCAGCCTCTAGGGAACTGGAATTACAGGCATGTTTTGTTTAGATATTCTGCGCAGATGTAATCGCATTGCCAGGAGCCCTTTTGCTCGGTTCTTTTACTTGCTGTTTTTGAGACTCATTCAGGCTTTAGAACATGACAGCACCCATCCACTCTTCCTCTGATGCACACTTGAAGGTCTTTCTGTTTAGTTATTGAAAATAATAGTGTTGCCGTGGGTATTTGTGTGCTTTTTTTTTTTAGTCCCCATTGTCAAATTTTGAATATCTGTTTAGGTGTGGACTTTCTGTGTCATATTGCTAATCCTGTGGTTATATTTTTTGGAGATTTTAACTTTTTTTTTCTTTTTAAATATAAAGGAAAGGAGAGAGCAAAAAAAAAATGGGTCCTGAGGATTCCCATGAGGAAAATAGTCAATTTAGTTTGTAGATGGCATTCAATCGGTTCTATTTCTTTAAAGCATTAAAGTATTTACTTTTGATTGCACACACACAGAGAGACACATACACACTTACACACGTTATGTGAGTTGTACATGTGAGTGCAGTGCCCACAACAGAGGCCAGAAGAGGGTGCCAGATCCCCTAGTGTTGGAGCTACAGGAGGTTATAAGCTGTCTGACTCAGGTCTGGGATCTGAACTCAAGCTCTCTGGAAGGACTAAAGTACTACACCATCTCTCTGAGCTGTGGATCCAGCCTCCTTAGCCAGTCAGCTCTTCATCTTGTGTTCAGTCCCTTCTGCCAGCAGAAGAAGGCGAGAGCCATGGGTCCCTGACATCTCTACTATCTCTCCCCTAGGGCTTAGTCTGGCTGTTCCGGAGAGGACTGTAAGATGGTGTGTTGTGTCAGATCGTGAGGCCACCAAGTGCTCCAGTTTCAGTGACAATATGAAGAAAGTCCTTCCTGCAGATGGCCCATCTGTTAGCTGTGTGATGAAAACCTCGTACCCTGAGTGCATCGAGGACATCTCGGTAAGTCGCTGCTGTCAGCAGAAGAAAGTTTGCGCCTTTTTCCATAATTTTTATTGCAGGGGGGGGGGAGACAGCTGATCAGCACTCACCCGGAGCAAGAGTCATAAACTTAATCGAGCAGCTAATATGGGCTTCAAGTTTAGCAACATGTCTGCGACACACCAAAACCTAATACACCAAGAGAATCTATAGAAACTCAAAAATAAAGAAAACTTCTCAATACAGAGCAGGCTGGCCCAGAACTCGTAGACTTCCTGTTCCTGACTCCGGAGTGCTGGAACTAAGATGTGGATCACCATAGCTGGTGGGGTTTGCATTTTTAAGTGCAAAAAGCTGTTGTTTTTTTTTTTAATTATGAAATTTGTCTTTGTGTATGTGCATGCATGTGTGTGTGTGTGCATGTGCACATGTGTATGTGTGAGAGAGACAGAGACAAACAGAAACAGATAATGGGAGAGTAGAGACGGGTTTGTCATAGCCATTTGTCCCTATGCCATTGCAGAGCAGGTTAAACTATCTCAGACGTCTTTTTGCATCTGCTATTGGAATCTGCAGAGGAACTCGGGAAAGGAAAATGAGTGAAAGCAGAGAAAAGCCATTGTGAACTGCATTCCTTGGGGATGGTTGGAGTTCATGTCTAGTTCATTCATATTGCTTTCCATTTTCTTCCTATTTTCCTTCCTTCCTTCTTATATATATTTGTCTTTATTTTATGAGTGTTTTGCCTGCATGTATGTTGTATGTCTGCATACCACGTATGTGCCTGGTGCCCTCCAATGCCAGAAGAGGGTGTTGGATCCCCCTGAACTGGGGTTATGGGTATCACATAATGATTGTGAATCATTACTGGGTGCTGAGAACACGGGTCCTTCTTAAGAGCAACAAGTAGTCTTGACCACTGGGATATCCCCAAAGCCCTTGACTTCAGTCTTGAGACATTGATGGCCTTGACAGTGGTTCGCAGGCTTAGTGACTTTGTTCTTTGACCTTTAATATTAGCTGTGTCTTTTTCCAAGTTAATTTGAGTTGACTTTTGATAGGCGTCTTCAGTGACGTCCTAAGTTATACACACACAGATATGCATATCTATCATCCATATATATTAAAACATATTGTAAAATAATTTTAGTATGGAATTTGTAAAGTCAAACAACAACAGATCAAAGACTGGTTTTTAAAAATTACATCTGCATTTGCCATGAACACACTCTTCGTTTCCATCGACCGTTTACCCAGCTTCTACCTTGGGTTAGTTTTACCCGTAGTCTCAAGACAGGTTAAAGTATATCAGGGTTAGCATGGGGTGTGCGCAACTCCGCTCCGCCGTTCCTATCGGGGATTCGAGCCTTGGTTGATATTTTACAGGCGTGTCAAAAGAAATCTCCCTCAGGCACTGAGGGATGGCTGTGCTAAACTACATCCTGAAAAAAACCCAGCTTACTTTAAAAGCTAATTTAGAAACTGAGTCTGGTGGCCCAGGCCCGGAATGCAGTTAATGGGGAGGTCCTAAGGATTGCCCGGCCGACAGAGTCAGTTCAAGGTCAGTGTGAGCAACTTAGTTGACCCTTGTCTCAAGATTTAAGAAGTGAAAGAGAGCCGGAAATATTCCTCATGGGTAGAGCACTTGTCTAGCTGTACAAGGTCCTAAGTTCATTCCATTGCTGGTAAAAGGATGTCAATCACTAAGGGATAGAAGGAATGGTTTGCATTGAGGGTAGGAAACGACTCAACTTCATCTTAGCTTGTGAAGTTGCTGCTTCCTGCAGGGAGGAAGGAACCCTTGGCTGACAGATCCCTGAGACCCAGATGCGGACAATGTAGCATGAGTTCTCAAGGATGGATGCATTCTGCAGGTCTCATACTCACTCAATGAACACATGTGGATACCTGCCCTCCTAGCTGCTCACGTATGTGCTGAGATTAACCAGGGAACAAAACAGACAGGTATTCCCACATTCGCAGGCCCCGCAATCCAAGGATGAGGCTAGCGAACCAAGAGTCAGTTGGCTGAGGGCTGAGGAGGAAAACAAAACAGTTTACATGTGGCGGTACCTTCTTCTTTCAGCCCTCAAGAGCCTCATGGAGTAGGCGGGAATGAGGAGGAAGAGGTCTGAGTTATGGGAGATTCTATGGAGCCAGAGTCTCTGGCAGAATCTCAGCCGACAGGGCGCTACGGGCACAGGACAGGGTCAGCCACATGCTTCATTTGGGCCTTTGCTTGTTTATTTTTCTTTTTCAGGTAAAACCCAGGCCTGACACATAGTCGGTCAGCACTCTACCACGGAAGCACGATCTCAGCCTTCCTAACATTTGAAACTCTAAATTTACAGGCTCCTTAGGAACCCATTTTTTTTTTTAAAGTGTGTGTGTGTGCACGGATGCCTGGAAAGTCAGAAGGGGGCTTGAATCCCCTGGAGTTACAGGAGGCTGAAAAAGCCTGGGTTAAAACCGGTCTCGCTGAACATAGCAGACAATGAGGACTACTGAGACCTCAAGAACAATGGCAATGGGTTTTTGATCCTACTGCACGTATTGGCTTTGTGGGATCCTAGGCAGTTTGGATGCTCACCTTACTAGACCTGGATGGAGGTGGGTGGTCCTCGGACTTCCCACAGGGTAGGGAACCCTGATGGCTCTTTGGGCTGACGAGGGAGGGGGACTTGATTGGAGGAGGGGGAGGGAAAGGGGAGGCGGCGGTGGGGAAGAGACAGAAATCTTTAATACATAAATAAATACATAAATACATAAATACATAAATAAATAAATAAATAAATAAATAAATAAATAAATAAATAAAACAGAGTCTCTGGCAGGACACCGGAAGAGTCTTCCCTGAGGGGTGATGAGTTTCACGCATGGCTGGTCTCTTTTCTTTCAGGCCAACAAAGCAGATGCTGTGACCATTGATGGAGCTTTGCTGGCTGAGGCTGGCCTGCCCCACCACAATCTGAAACCTATCATGGCAGAATACTATGGATCAAAAGACGGTGTGTTCTCGCTGGGGCCCGGTGTCACTGGTGTGACATGATGGCCACGGGGGTTGGCAGGGACTTTGTCAACTGTGTTAGTTACTTTTTTTTTTTGTGGCGACAGAATGCCTGACCAAAGAAACTTAAGGAAGAAACAGCTGATTTTGGCTCACAGTTGGAAAAGATAGAGTCCACTGTGGGGGGAGGGGCATGGCAGAAGGAGCGTGAGGCCGCTGGCCACATTGCATCTGTAGCCAGGGAGCGGAGAGAGGAGGACAGTGAGAGAGACTGGTGCTCAGCTCACTTTCTTCTCAGTTTTACTCACCCCAGGACCCAGGCCACGGAATGATGCCACCCACATTCAAGGGGCAGGTCTTCCTTCCTCAGGTCAGCCTCCCTGGAAACTCCCCCAGAGGTGTGTCTCCTGGGTGATTGCAAAGCTAGCCAAGTTGATGGTAAAAATTAACCGTCACACTAACATTACAGGGGACCAAGTCTCTGGAGCTCTTCGGCTTGGCAGTGTTGTTCACTGGCCCACAAAGGCTGCGGTGTTTCTCCACAGGAAGCGGTGGCTTTTGTGAATCCTGGTGGGCACAGCCTTGGTTCTGTGGTCTGTGGGATGGTCACATCCCGAGAGGGGTGTTATCCAGAACCTGTTACCCATCCCTAGGGCTGTGCCAATGAGAGACCTTTTCTAAGGACACACAAAGCTTTTCCTTACACTGCCTCCCATGGGTCTTACACAATACAGATCTGTGTCTGTGTGCAGAGAAGCTCTGGTGGAGTGGATGAGGGGAGAGTTACCTCTTTCCACTCTCGTGTGTTACTGTTATCAGTATGTGGGAACACAGCCCAGCTTAGTTTGCTTCTAGCTTGCAGGTCCCGACGTATTCTGGGGCCAGTCCTCATCTTCCTCTCACATCTTTACCTTTGTGACTGAGCTGTAAGCAGAGACCCAGAGAATGAAGAAAAGGCCATATAGAAGCAGCAACAGTCCAGCTACTAGGATCTAAAGCCTGTGGTCCCTGGAACACCCACATGTCCTGTAATGGAGCAGGCAAGCTTCTAGCTCTGCAGGCTTGAGGTGCCTGGCAGAAACAAAACAGAGCATAGCAAAATGGCCCTGGAGGTACCCTAACCTACAATGGACTTATGCCCAGATCAAACCCATCATAAACTCAAAACGTTGCAAGTCCAGATGCTTTCAATACAGCGAGTCAGGCAAACATCCAGTTTAGCAAGGTGGCGCCATGGACTAGTGTTCGTTTTTTGCTGTGAACACATGGTTGACCAGACACCATGGCTTACAGTCTCTGCCCAGCCTCCAAAGAAGGGTTCTTCTTGCATTTGAAAGACCAAACTGGAAATCTGAAGGATCTACTGGCATTGGCACCTACCATAAAGCAAAGCTAACAAGTCTAGCTTGTAAGTCAGGGAACATCTGCAATATTAATTTATTGCCTTGAAAGGGGTCAGTTCTCTCCTCCTGTCAGATAAAGGCATTTTCCATTCTTTTTTTTTTTTTTTTTTTTTTTTTTTTTTTTTTTTTTTTTTTTTTTTTTTTTCAAATTTGTGACAGTACTCTTGTCTTGGACTCTGAGTGATGTGGGGTGTCCTTCTGTGTTTTTTTTGCCCTTCTTGCTAGAGGCTGGTGCAGGGGCCCAGGACCCTCTGAAGTTCCACATTGTGAATGCCTTGGAAGGTTTAGTTGTAACAATGTGTTTTCTTTAGGCTTCTCTCTTTCTCTCTGCTCACCTGCAGATCCGCAGACCCTTTATTATGCGGTGGCCCTGGTGAAGAAGGGTACAGGATTTCAACTGAACCAGCTCCAGGGCAAGAAGTCCTGCCATGCCGGAATGGGCTGGTCTGCTGGGTGGTATATTCCCCTCGGCAAACTGCTTCCTTCTGGCTCTCTGGAAACAGGTGAGGCATCTGGAGCTAGGTGCCCTCACTGGGTGGTCTAACTGGATTATGTTGGGGTTACACAGTCATTTGTTTTGTTGCTATAAAAGTACCAAGTAAAAGCAACTTCAAGAAGGAAGGACTTTATGAGCTTGTAGTCTGAGCGTACAGTTCATCAAGCTGGGTAAGGCCAGGCAGCAACAGCTTGAGGCATTGCTGGTCCCCAGCTTGCTTTCTTCTTTTATTTATCCTGGCTCCCATCCTATCAATGGTGACACCCATGTTCAGGGTAGATCTTCCCTCTTTAGTTAAGCTTTTCTAGAAACAGCCTTATAGACACACCCATGTGTTTCCATGGTGATTCCAAACCCAGTTGCATTGATAATGCAAGTTAGCCACGGCTCAGACACTGACAAACACACATGTCTTATGTTCTCTGAGACGGAGTTAGAGTGTGCACCAGCAGCCCACAGGAGCTGGCTGAGGGTTCTCCCAGTAGCAATGCTTCCATTTCTCTGAGCGGTCAGTTTCCCCTTCCCAGGAGCCACAGCAGTCTGTCTTGGCAAGGCTATCCTTGAAAGACTCCAAGGAAGGTCACCTCACTCCAAACCTCCCTGGAAGGTTCTCTGGGGCTTGCAGAAGCATCAGTGGGCCCTCAGGCTTCCATACATTAATGCGAGTGCCTGGACAAGGACAGGATGACTGGGTTAATGCTAGACATCCCTGAGTGCTCCAGGCTTCTTGAGCAGATAGGATGAGCCACAGTTAGCCCAGACCTTTTCAGCCCTTGAAGACGGCTCCCAGATCCTGTACTCTGCGAAGGCACGCCTTTTTTTGTGCTGTCGGCCTTTGCAGTGCTCATGTTGTAACAGGGACAGGGACAGGCAACTGTGTGGGTCTGACAGTCTGTTAAAGGACTACAGCCTTGTGTCTTGACCTTTCTAGGGTGTTCTCTTGCCTTGGTGGCAGATACCACTGGACTTCTGTCTGAGCGATAGGCAGTGGCTGCTAGCTTGCTTCTTTGCTGATTGACCAGCAGGATTTACCAATCCTCCCCTCGAATCAGGGATTCCATGAGCCACCACAGCCTCTGCATACAGAGAGATTGGAAGTGGGGTGGGCTCTTGTCTGATGCAAGGAAGAGCTATTACTGCATGGTGACTGGCCTACTAGGGTTCCTGTCTTCTTCAGTGTTCTGCCTGGCCCTGTAGGGGGCCGGTAATTTTTTTATTATTATTTCATGTACATTGGTTTACCTGTATGAGGGTATTGGATCCCTTGGAACTGGAATTACAGATAGCTGTGAGTTGCCTTGTGGGTGCTGGGAATCGAATCCAGGTCCTCTGGAAGAGCAGTCAGTGCTCTTAACCATTGAGCCATCTCTCCAGTCCTGGGGTGTTGGTAAATTAACTGGTCACATCTTGTTTCCATGTGGGTCAGCAGTTCTTCTTTTTCTTTTTTGTTTTAAAGATTTTTATTCTTTTATTATATACACAGTATTCTGTCTGCATGTCTGCCTGCAGGCCAGAAGAGGGTACCAGATCTCATTACAGATAGTTGTGAGTCACTGTACAGTTGCTGGAAATTGAACTCAGGACTTCTGGAAGAGCAGCAGCCAGTGCTCTTAAGCTGTGGGGCATCTCTCCAGCCCAAGGGTCAGCAGTTCTTATCCCCTGCAGCAGACAAGATGGGGAGCATTTTCATAGGCTTGATCCCTGAACACGCATAAGCATGCATGGTTCTCAAACACACATGGCCCCTGGGTCATCCATCCATCCATTCACTCTGGCCTGGGCATTGCCTGCCCCCCATGGCAGACTCCCTGCACATACTCACTTCTTAGGAGTAGTCCTGGGGGATGTCCACAGACAGGACACTCTCTCACACATGTGCAATCCGATGGCTTTAGCCAGCTCACACCCTGTGGCCCGTGTCTCTGTGTTGAGCAGCAGCAGCCACGTTCTTCTCCAGCAGCTGCGCCCCCTGTGCGGATGGAAAGACGTTTCCCAGCCTTTGCCAACTGTGTGCGGGGAAGGGGACAGACAAGTGTGCCTGCTCTTCCAGTGAACCATACTTCGGCTACTCTGGGGCCTTCAAGTGAGTGAGAATCCCTTGCTCTGGAGCTGGGCATCTATGAGTTATTGTTCTTGTAACTGTGACCGAATACCTGACAAGAAACAACCTAAGAAAGAGAGAGTTTATTTTTGGCTCACGGTCTGAGAGGATACAGTCTATCGTGATGGGGAAGGCCTGGCAGCAGGAGCATGAACCAGTTGGTCGCACGGAGCAGGGGAGGCTGGTGCGCCGCTCACTTCCTGCTTGTTATTCATTGCTAGGCTCCAACCCATAAAACACTACCATCCACATTTAGGGTGGATCTTCCCACCTTGATTAACCTAGAAACTGCCTCACAGATGACCTTTGTTATATGATCCAGCCTAGCTTGATAATACCAACCATCACAGAGAGACAAAGACACAGGATCAAACAGGACAAACCCCTGGCACCCAGATATTCTGAGTCCCCCCCATGGCCTACCCCTGTTCCTAAACATCCCGAGGAACAATTTTCTTTGTGGGAGACCTCACTGTCTCTCCAAAGCTGGGACCATAACATGCTGTTCTTCATGATAACCGAAGTGCCAGGGGAGGTTGGTACAGACTCATCTCTGGGGACTGGGATTTGCAGACACGGGCCGCAGGCGCTTCCCAGCTAACCACCTTTGGTACTTTGCCTGTGGCTTTCCATGCTCTGTAAGAGAAGGTGACTGCTCGAACCAGAGCAGGACTAGGTGGGTTTTGGGGCTATCTGATGACTTTTAAAAGCCAAAACCAAACCAGTGGCTTGGAGCTGCTCTCTGAGAGGCAGGCAAGGGTCCTGTCTGCCTCGACACCCTTCTCCAGAACTGCCTGCGATGCTGGTGTCCAGGCCTCCCGCCTGATTTATGGCTCAGCCTGGCTGTGATGTTTTAAAGGCTTCAGATAAGGCCATTGCCTCTCTGAAGACAGACGGATGCCTGAGAACCTGTGAGCAAGGCCCCAGCAGATCCTCAGAGGCGTTGCACAAGAGCCAGGTGAGGTGTGTTCCCAGGCAGAATGCCTGACCTTGTCTGTCATGTTTGCAGATGTCTGCAGGATGGTGCGGGGGATGTGAGCTTCGTGAGGCACCTGACAGTGTTTGGTAAGTGCTGGACAAAGAGGAAAGCGGGCCCCAGCCTGGCCAAAGGCTCGGACTCTGTCTCACTTCTAGAAGAGAGTGATATTGAGATGGTTAATGCACAGAAGGGACTTTAGGAAAGCATTCCCCCCATTCCTGCATTATTTAGGACCCCACTTATTCTTCTTAGCTCACGTCTGCTGACCATCTCCCTATCTGGGACCTGCACCCGCCCCTCCCCTGCTCTCTCAGCTAACCTATAGACACCTCTATAAATCTAGTTAACCTGATTTTTGAGTTGCTATTTGCTACTTTCCAATAATAAAAGAAGTTGTTTCTGCAATGTCAGACATTAAACCAAATGCCTTGTATGCACTAGATAAATGCTTTACCCCTGAGAAACAACCCCTTTCCTAATTTTTAATTTAAAAATAACAGTAAACCTTTCCACTATTTTGGACAATTTAGCTCAAACAAGAAAAGGAGCAATTTCAGACAAGTTAATATTATATATTCTTGGACTTTATGTGTGTGTACATACATGTGCATGCATGTGTTCATGTGTGTGTTTATGTAAATTCTCTGCACTGACCCCAGAGCCTCATGCGTGCCAGGCAAACACTCCATCACAGAGTTGCACTCCTAAACCTTCTTAGGTTTTCATTTAATACTTTTGGTCTCTTGAGACAAGAGCTCACTAAGTTTCCCAGCTGGTCTTCAACTCATTCTGTAGCCCAAGCAGGCCTCAAATTTTCTACCTTCTTGCTCAACCTCCACAGTAGCTAGATTTACAGAAAAAAGCCACTAGGCCTGGCCAGATTCTTGGTTTATATCCAATTAAATATCAGATACAGACACACTATGCTGCTCAATGTTTAGCTCAATGCTTAGCTCGGCTTTATAACAAACGCTTCCAGGAAGCTTCCAGGTCCTAACAGTTTACCCTGGGCTTGGTTACAACCTAGATGCCTTCCCCTGTGATGACGTCAGCATCCTTTGCTCATTTGCTCAGCCATTCACAGTTCACCTTCGCATCGCTGCACACTGGACTGGTGTGTTAGTATTTTTGAAATTGGGGCGTGTCCTATTATCAACAATTTTCATGACTAAGGCCATTTTTGGGTCTTATCTTCCAGAACCAAGCTGTCTCTAATAATTATCGTTGTGGCTTTTGGATGCCTGTGTTACCACGGTTGTACCAGCAGGTGGCATCTCCTAGCTCTTACCATGGAGATCTTAAAAGACCCTCCCTCTGGAAGGAGCAGGCTGTCCCAGACCATTCTGGCTTACCTTTGCAGAAAGTCATTTACCGCAGTAGTAAGACCTCCCCTTGGCTTCCAAGGAGAGTTTTCTGAAACACTCCTCCATGTGGGATGTAAGTGACTGGCGATGGTAAAGCCAGGGTCCACCACCCTGGCAGTGAGTGAGGCAGAAAGGCATTTTCTTCCTGAGGTTGTTAGAGCACATGGATTTCCTTTTAACTTAAATTTTAATGTTACTAAATTACTGAATATTCATGGTCTGGCAAGGTGGTACATGGGAAGCAGAAGCAGGAAGATGATGTGAATTTGAGGCCAGCCTGGTCCACATATTGAATTCCAGGCCAGCCAAGACTATATAGTGAGACCCTGTCTAAAGTTACTTAATTAATTTTTAAAATAAAATTTTTTTCCTTGGATGTTTCTTCTCTCTCTTTCTCTTCCTTCCTCCCTCCCTCCCTCCCTCCCTCCCTCCCTCCCTTCCTTCCTTCCTTCCTTTTTCTCTTTCTTGACAGGGTTTCTCTGTATAACAGCTCCGGCTGACCTAGAACTTGTTTCATATACCAGGCTGGCCTCGATCCACCTGCCTCTACCTTAAAGGCATGTTCCACCACACCTGGCTCTTTGGACTTTTCTAAGTAGCGTGATTACTGGTGAGTGTTTCCATATTCAGTCAATATTTTTTTAATATAAAGATTTTACATGTGTTTTTTTCTGTGACATATTGAATTTATGATAGTTCATAAAAAAGAATAATGATCTCCAAAATCTGATGGTAACTCCCTACCTCCTTCTTGCCCCCTTTTTCCCCAGTACTGAACAAAATGAGGGCTTTGCACTTCCAGCAAGTGCCATACCGCTGAGCCATGTACTCCCAGCCCTCTTTTTACTTCCTTCATTTTGAGACATGCCCTCACTAAGTTGGCTGAGTTAGCCTTGAACTCACTTTATTGTCCAGGCTGGCCATGATCTTGCAATCCTCCTACCTCAGCCTCATGAGTAGCTGGGATAGGCCTGCACTACCAGGCCAGCTCCTCCTCTTTCGGTATAAGACTTTTATCAGTCCCAAAGACTGTGTTCGTTTTCCAGGCCTGCCAATACAAAGTGCCACACACTAGGTGCTTTAAGCAATAGAAACACGTCATGTCCTTCTCCTGGAGGCTGGAATTTCAAGATCAGGGTGTCAACAGGGCTTGTTCCTTCTGAGGATATGACAAAGATTCTTCCGTACCACTCTCCTGGCTGGCTGGCCATCACTGGTGTTTCTTGGCTTGTACACACATCTTACATCTTCACTGTCTGACTTCATGTTTACATGGCAGACTCCCTGCATGCATGCCTCTTTTCACATTTCCTCTCTTCACAGGAACACCAGTTGTATTGGGTTAGGAGCCCACTCTATTCTAGTATGATCACATCTTACTGGTGGACATTTGTAAGGACCACTTTAAAGTAACGTCACACTTGGAGACACTGGGGATTAGGACTTCAATGTACAAATGCACTGAAAATCAACATGGCGTTCGAGGAACCTGTTCTTTGCACCTGCAGAGTTCCCTAACTGGGACCCTAGCCTTCTTTTCACCGTCGACTCTGTCATTGCTTTTTCCCAGCAGGCTCTGTTTCTGGAGAACTTGGCTGCTTTTGTGAGGGATGTGAGTTGCCCCAGGGTGGCAGCACCAACCAGATGCTGGTTCTGTTTCTTCACATCTATAATGTGATCATTCTACGTCTGGCCCTTCTTTAGGTACATAGAGGCCTGGGCAGCCATGAGCCCTGTGTACAGTCGCGTGGGCGGTCATTGCTCAACGTGTGTTTGCTGTCGCCATTTTTATTTGCAGAGTTACAGGGGAATGGGCAGCTGGAGGGTGCCTTGGCCAGGTGTGGTACCCAACCCTGGGTGACCTGCCATGAGAGTGTAAACCAGTTGTTTTCCGGGCTGAGTCCTCTGCTCCCTCACCTGTGTAAAGCGTGTTTGGAAAGGATTCTGTCCCCTTCAGCCCACTCGCTCTGTGGTGGTGGGCAGAGGTCAGTGCGGCTCCTAGCTCAGTCTGCTCACCTGAACTTTCCCTCCTCAGAGGTACTGCCACAGAAAGCAGACAGGGACCAGTACGAGCTGCTCTGTCCCGACAACACCCGCAGGCCAGTACAGGAATACGAGCAGTGCCACCTGGCCCGGGTCCCTTCTCATGTTGTCGTGGCTCGCAGTGCGGACGGCAAAGAGGACTTGATCCAAGAGCTTCTCAGAGTTGCCCAGGTATCCCCCGCCCAGCATCCTTTCCCCAACGTACAGCTCCCTTCTTCAGTGTGTATAGAGTGTGGGGGGGGGCGGGGGCGGGGAGAGAGTCCTACTTGCCATCTGACTGCAGACCAGAAGTCTGCGTGTTCAGGACACAGTGGGTGGTGCTAGCACACGATCCCTTCACTGACAATCTACCTGGTCTGTGTTTGTTACAAGCAGTAGAGGCCGTAAGGGTCACGTGACTGGCATCACCATCCTGGGAGCTAAAGACTCTCAGAAGCACTTCCTGTCTTGTTTCACTCTTTTCAGTTCTAAAGAGTCCCTTCTGCCTCAACAAAGTGCTTCTCTCATGACCCCACCCTGGCCTGGGACTCCCCTGACTGAGGTCCCAGATCAGGAACCCTGTCTCTGTGTTGGTGGCACTCTCTCCCAGTCAGCATCTGTACCCTGTCCCATCTCCGTCAACACAGTACTCAGACTCAGAGACGAACTATACAGAGCTGCCCTTGAATCCACGCAGGCACAAGGCGTGCACACATTATCATCACCAGGAGGGATTGCACAACCTTGAGAATACCGGCCTTGTACTTTGTGCTTTAACGGAGGAATTTATTTGAAGGGCATTCTGGGGAGAATCCTGAGCCCTGGGTATAAGTTGTGTGTGCCCAAAGAAAGGGCGAAGGATTATTAGGGACAGCAGCAGGTGGCATTCCATGCAGAGCACTGCGAGGTAAAATGCAGTCATTTGACTTTTGTTTTTGTTATCAGTCTGCTTTGGTTTTTGTTGGGACAGGTCTCACGTGGCCCAGACTGGCCTTGAACTTGCTGTGTAGCCAGGGGTGAACTAGAACTCCTCATCCTCCCAAGAGCTGGGATTACAGACGTGTTCTGCCAAACCTAGCAAATGCAGTCCCTTGAAGGCACACATGGGCAGGTGCTACTATAAGCTATAATCAGAAGCAACTGTGGGCCAGGCCAAGAAGACACAGGCACAGGGCCTTTGAAGTATTTGGAGGCCTGAAAAGACAAGAGACTGTTTGCTTCTCATAACTGGTCCTTAGCAAAAACCTGGAGTAAAGAGAGGGTACAGGACACCTGCAGCCCTAGTGGCAATGTGCTGGAGCAAGCAACTTCAGGGAGAAGTCTAGCATTGCCACCAGGGCAAGCAGACAAGCAAGTGGCAGCCATCATCCTGCCCATGGGAACACACAGCAAGAGTCCTACCGCAGCGGCATGGCACAAGACCAACTCAAACCGCTTTCTACAGGTCTGTGGGTCAGACCCCAGCAGTTCCCTGAGTCTTCATGACTCAGACTAGATGGAATTTGAGTAAAACTTTCCATGAATAGGCTTGTTAGTAGCCCTGGGCACTGCTTTTGTGTACAGGATATCTCCCTGTATGTGTAAAGGGTTACTTTAAAATCTTCAGTGGAACTGGGCAGTGGTGGTGCACGCCTTTAATCCTAGCCCTCAGAAGGCAGAGGCAGGCAGATTTCTGTGAGTTCAAGGACTGCCTGGTCTACAGAGCCAGTTCCAGGACTGCCAAAGCTGCAGAGAAACCCTGTCTCAAAAACAAAAAACAAAACAAAAAGACCCCCCAAAAAAACCAAAAACGAAACAAAAATCTTTAGTGGATTCCTGTAACTGCAGAAAGTCTTAAACCCTACAGATAGATAGATAGATAGATAGATAGATAGATAGATGATAGATAGATAGATGGATGGATAGATAGATAGATGGATACTCCTTGATGCAGTGAACTATGTTCCAGTAAACCTTCATCATTGTGCTAAAAAAAAAAAATTCAAACCACTGTGAGTCAACAACTGCCTTGTATTTTTTCTGTGCACTCAGATATATGATAGTGATTAAGCATAGTAAGGGATTTTCAACAATAATAATATATAGAAAATACAACCGTATACTTACTATAATTAAAGTTATTTAAAATTTATTGCTTTCTGGAACGTTCCATTTAGTATTTTCGAAGTGCTATTAACTGCAGGCAGCTGGAACAGCAGGAAGAAATGGTGGCCAAGGATGACTGCGTGGCTCTCCCCTCCTTTCCCTTTACCTAGTTTGGGTTCATTTCGTCTTCATTTCCACCCCACGCCAACAGTGTCCCTCCGTTCCTTCTCCTGCCTCTGAACAGGAACATTTTGGACATGGCAAGTCGTCTGCTTTCCAGCTCTTTGGCTCCCCTCATGGGAAAGACCTGCTGTTCACTGATGCTGCTCATGGATTTCTAAGGGTTCCTCCAAAGATGGACATCAACCTGTATCTGGGATACGAGTATTTTTCTGGCATTAAGAAACTAAAGAGAGGTATGTCAGGCCCCGTGGAGGGACCTGCTAAGCTTCACCACAGGGTGAGGCAGAAGTCGTGGACTAGAATTAGTGGCTGTGAATATCACCTAACCTTATTGATCTACAAAGCCCCCGAGAGCTACTCAATATCCTGGGCTGATGAGCAGATGTTCTGCCGAGCCAGGGAAAAGATCTAAGTTATTTAATGACAATAATGTTATATGGTGAAAGTGGTGGTGCTGGGACTTGAACCCAGGTCTTCACAGATGTGAAACAAAGACTCTGCTACTGAGGTGTGCTTCCAGTCCCTACAAAAGGGATTTCAGGACCTTCCTATTATAGACAACTTAATGCAACAGTGGCTCTGGATTCTTGTGTTAACTGGCTCCACTCACCCAGTGACAGACAGGTCTGTTCAATAGGGAGGACGGTCCATCCCAAGCTGACATGGGAACATGGCCACGGCCACAATCAGGAGCAGAACTAGAAAGGTTTTGAGTGCAGCTGCCACCCTCCCCTGGCTTTTCCCATCCCATTCTTTGCTTCTTCTCTGTCTTCACCCTCCTTTTAATCAAACAATAGTCCCTGCGCATCTACAGAGTGTTAGGTGGAAGCTAACACACTGGGGTGAGCATCAGCAATGAGACCATCAGAGCAGAACACATGACTTCCATGTTATACTGCCTGGATGGAAGTTCTGCAAAGGAAAGTTCCAGAAGGCCCAGCTTTGGGATGGAGAGCTGAGAAGCTTCCCTGGGGAGGTGACATCAGGAAGGAGGGAAGAGCTCCACTGTCACTATTTTTCACCAACGCCGGGATCTCTATTTCTCCTAGACAATGACAGGCAGCCAGGGACTGTGGCATGCAATGAGCCGTACCCGCTCATTGCCTTCAGTGATACCCCATTGGGCAGCATGTCTGCAGTCATCTGGGGATTGTTTTTTTTTTGGGGGGGGGTCCTTGCATCATCTCTATGCATCCTAGGTTTGGAAGACTCCCAGAGGGTGCAGTGGTGTGCAGTGGGCCAACAGGAGAGGGCCAAGTGCGACCACTGGAGCGCTGTGAGTGGTGGAGCGCTGGCATGTGTCACGGAGGAGACTCCTGAGGACTGCATCGCTGCCATCATGGTAGGAAGCCCCACTTCTTCATCGGGGCCCCTGATTTTGGGTAAATCTCTCAGCACTAACCCATGGATTCAGATTTTGTTGGGTCTGTAGTTTCCAAAGTTTGTCAGTTGTAAAGATTACAACTTGAGTACTCTTGAATATTGCCTGGCATAGGGTAAGCTGTTAATACGTGTTAGCTACTTTTATTATTTAAAGTCTTGGACACAGCAGGTGCACTTTCTTAGGCAATGAAACCGTAAGTTAAAATATGTTTTTAATAGTTGCATATCCAAGCACGGTGGTGCACAGTTGTAATCCCAGCACTCGGAAGATGAAAGCAAGAGGATCAGTTTAAGGCTATCCTTGGCTACCTAGTAAGATTGAGGCTAGCCTGGGTTACAAGAGACTGTTTCAAACAAACAGGCAAATAAACAAAACCCCCAAATCCTACATGATTTCATACTAAATATTTCAATGTCAATTTATCTAGCTAATTGATAGTTTTTATCTTTGAGTTATTTAATAAATTATTTGCTATTATACATATGGGATTGGAATTTTTTATCCCTGTAACTGTCAGTATTTTTGAGTTCATTGTTAATCTTAATCTATAGCTAATATTTCTGCAGCTACTTTCTACACAACATGTAAACTTCCATTAACTCTCTTAAACCTCATCAAAGCCCTCAGGGTACTTTTCGGTCATTTTAGGAACATAAAATTTGCAGGACAATGGTGACACACACCTTTAATCCCAGCACTCAGAAGGCAGGCAGATCTTTGTGAGTTCGAGGTCCAGCCTGGTCTACAGATTGAGTTCCAGGACAGCCTGAGCTGTTACACAGAGAAACTCTGTCTTGAGAAAAACTATACATATCTTACAATATTTAGGGATGTGTACTTTGAATAGCCACGTCCTGGAGGCAATGTGGCACAGTGGTTACTGTAGGAAATAGACCATCCATCAGACAAATCATTTAACATCTTTCTGCATTGGCTTGTTGGTTATCAAATGACACTTTCTGTTTTATTTGACTTTCTGAGGCATGGTGAGTGATTCATTGCCCAGTGTTTAAATATGTGTGTTCACAGAGTGTCACTCGTTTAATTATTTTTTATTATTATTGTTGAGCGTTTGTTTGCCATTTGGCTGGTACTGGGCATTAAAGTTGGCCCTTGCTCTTCCTTCCCATTGATCTACAGCCCAGCCCTGCACAATGCTCGGGAAGAGCCTGGTACAGGGCACCTTTCCCCTACCCTGCTTAGTTTTTAGATTTCCAGGGCTGCCGAGGAGTCAAAAGTGAAGTGCATACATGAATGTGCATTTGGTGTTGCTGGTGTTTGGCACAAAGTCTCACTCTATATCCCTGGCTGGTCTGGCACTCACTATGTTGCCCAGATTAGCCTTGAACTCATGGCAATTCTCCTGCTTCAGCCTCACCAGTGCTGGAATTACAAATATGAGCTACACTCCGGTTAACTACTTTATCTCAGTGATCTTATGTAGGACTATAAGAATACATTAGTTAATTGTGAATAATTATTTAATGGTTATTCATCATTTTGTTAATTATTTCTTAGTTGTTTGTTGGAAACATTTCTTGTGCCATTGAGTGCGGTGCTGATCGGATTTGGGGGACAGATTTGATTCCTCCGGTTGAAAGAAAACATTTTCCATGAGGCAGGTTAAATAGAGTACGTGAGCCTGGCACATGGGTTGTTGAATTAAGTGACAATAGTCATAAAGAAAGTGTGCTGTGTGCATGTCCAGGGATCTTCTAGGAGGACACAGGGATATCCCGAGGGCACGGCATGAGTCAGATCCTTGTTTCTAGCCAACAGGACAAAGACAGGTCTGGTTTTCTAAATTCCATGTTTTCACGGCAGAAGACTTGGGAGTACCACAGTCTGGTTAAATAAGTACACATAACAGGAACTCATGAGTTGAAGACTCTGAGGGTCAGTGGGATGGAAGACAGCCACACAGTTCACAACTGATTTCTCTCTTACCACAGAAAGGAGAAGCAGACGCCATGAGCTTGGATGGAGGATTTGCCTATGTCGCTGGCCACTGTGGTCTGGTTCCTGTCCTGGGCGAGAACTACAGTGAGTGGGTGGGACTCTCTGTTTCTCTCTGGGCGGGGGCACAGAAAGGTGATGAAACAGTACCATTTTTTTTCTGGTAAAATAATGATACTATATTTGTATCTTAGGGCTTTTGAAGTGGAATATTCTACTTCCCAACAGAGTCAGCTCAGCTATATATGTGGGTGTTAGACCTGTTTGCAAAGGTTTTAGGATCGAGGACTGGGCCACGGCAGCCATGACAGTTCAACCACTCCCCTCAATGCACCAACTTAAGAGTCACATAATGGTGAAAAGTGAGAGAGAGAGAGAGAGAGAGAGAGAGAGAGAGGAGGGAGGGAGGGAGGGAGGGAGGGAGGGAGGGAGGGAGGGAGAGAAAGACTTTATTCACCATAGCCACGCAAGGAAGAGGAACAGTAGGAGGCATCGTGACCCCCAAGTCCATCTTCAGGATTCTAATATGAAGGTTCAAATTTAAATAGAAGGCAAGAGATACACACAGACGAGCTGTCCTGGTCACGGTGTGGTCTCACCCATCATTGATCCAGCATATATTTTAGCTTTCCCTGCAAGGTGGTTTGACAAGTGTCAGAACTATATGAAGTCTCTCCTTGGGAGACAAATTCTTCCCCAGGCTGGCAGCAGTACTTCAGTCTTTCCCTTCCCCAGAACAACATTTCTGGAGGAATTCCAGTTCCTTGGGGACAACAACTGTTTCAATAGTCTGACGTCAAAGTGAGGGGAAACAAGTGTCTGTCTTTTCAGTATTTCTGCCCCTGCCAGGACAGTTATAGACAGACAGAGTTCAAGATCATACCTCTTACTATGGCTGTAACAATACTGAGGGTGTGGAGTGGGCAGAGCCACCACAGTGCTTGCCAAATGCCCATGGATTGAACTTGCTGTTAGCTCAGGGAAGACATCAGAACCAGACGGCTACTTCAAAAGGATCCCGGCCAATATCTGCTGTGGTCTCTCTTCTCCTCCCCTTCAAGGGGCACCTTGTTTTATTTTTGTATCTGTTTGAGTCTTGGGGAGATTCTGGGATGGAGGAGAGGGGGTTACCCTTTGCCAGTTGATAGCCAGTGACAGATCACTAAATCTACATTTCTCATTTTAGTCAATCTCGGTTGAGGTTGAGAAGTTCACAGCCTGGATAGAGTAACTTATATGAGAGTTTAACATGGACCTTCTGATGCATTTATCTAATTTTTCAATAAAAACTCAGGAGTTAGATATGGGGTAAGAACCTGAAGGGGGTAAGAGAAGCAGCAGAGAAGTGATCTCCATTCTCTTTTGTCCCTCCATTCAAAAGAGCCAAGAAGCTCTCTAAGCCCCACCCTACTACTTCCTGTCTCTCTATCTGTCTTCAGTCCTCCCAGACCTCTATGGTTAATTTTGGTCGGCTAGTAGCTAGCTTGGCCCTCTGATTCAAAGAAAACTTTATTGTCAGAAGGCAATCGAAACGTCGCACAACAACCTTCAGTGTTTCTGCTTTTCTTTTTAGTGTCTACAGATGGCCATGAGAGGCTGGGGTCTCAGTGTGTGAATGCACCTTTGGAAGGTGAGTGGGTCAGGAACATCGGGTTTAAAAGCAGAGCCTGATGCTTGGGAAGAGGATAACAGAAGCCTTAAAAGCAAACACAATTGGGGGCTGGGGTTAGCAGTGAAGTATGATGATTGGTCTTACAGAGGACCCAAGTTTGAGGACTCAAGAGTGATGCCCAGTGCTCACATCAGGTGGCTTACAAATATCTGTAATTCCAGTTCCCTCTTTGGTGCCCTCTTCTGGCCTCTGCTGGTACCTTCAGGAATCTGTACCCATAGATTCATGCAGGCACACACATATACACATAATTTTTTAAAAAAATTATAAATAAAACCAAACTTACTAGAGTTGAAAAAAGAAGCCCAGGTTATTGCTGATATACAAAACTGTCTCAAGGCAGACATAATGATTGATGTCTGCAGGTATCCCACAGTTGAAAAGACTTCTGTTAGCACGGCTCCTGTTTACTCTCCTCAGCAATCTGGTAGAATGGACATTATTGCTCCGTAGGATCTAGATGAGGAGATGAAGGCCCAAGGACTGGGTGGCTTCCCAGGGGCACACAGCCAGAAGTGGCTGCAGCTGAGCTTGAGAAGTGTTGAAGTAAGTGGGACCTCCAAGTCTTCCTGACACAGCCCTGTGTTCCTTTCATATTGTGCCCATCCTTGCATGAAGGTCAGCACTGGGGCAGGAGTCATCTGGGCACTTCTAGGAACAGGTGAGGCCTCATGTGAGGAGATTCGCAGGGTTGCTAAGGAAGAGGAAGAAAATGGGAACTACCCTGTGGTTAGCTGGAACTTATCGATGAGGGAGTTAACCTGATCTTTAAAATGAACCAGCCTGTCTTAGAGTTTCTATTGCTGGGATGAGACACCGTGACCAAACAGCAAACTGGGGAGGAAAGGGTTTATTCAGCTTATGCTTCCCCATCACAGTTCATCACCAAAGGAAGTCAGGACAGACACTCAAACAAGGCAGGATCCTGGAGGCTGGAGCTGATGAAGAGACCCATGAAGGGGGTGCTGCTCACTGGCTTGCTCCCTATGGCTTGCTCAACCTGTTGCTCAGCCCAGGGATGGAACTATCTACAATGGACTGGGTCCTCCCAAATTATGGTGGTTTGAAGGAAAATGATCCCCAAAGGGAGTGGCACTATTGGGAGGTGTGGCTTGTTGGAGTAGGTGTGGCCTTGCTGGAGGAAGTGTGGCGCTGTGGAAGCAGGTTTTGAGGTCTCATATATGCTCAAGCCACACCCAGTGAGACAGACCACTTCCTGTTGCCTGTGAGTCAAGATGTAAGAACTCTTAGCTCTTTCTCTAGCACCATGTCTGCCTACATGCTGTCTTGCTTCCCGCCATGACGATAATGAACAAAACCCCTGAACTGTAAGCAAGTCACTGCGATTAAATGTTTTCTTTTATATGAATTGCAGTGTTCATGGTGTCTCCTCACAGCAATAGAAAACCTAACTAAGACACTGGCTAAGAAAATGCTTTAGAGCCAAATCTCATGAAGGCATTTTCTCAATTGAGGTTTCCTCTTTTCAGATGACTCTAGTTTGTGTATCAAGTTGACATAAGGCTAACCAGGACACACACCCAGGAGATAAGCTCCTACCTGGCCTCTCTACATAGGCTGAAGGAGCTTATATCTCCCCTGAAGAGTCCAGTTTTGAAAGTTGCAGGTGGAGCATGGTGGTCCTTGGGTGTGTTTTCTGGACCAGCATCACCTGGGAATCTGTTGAAAATGAAACTTATTGGGTTCTTTCTACTGAGTCAAATGGTCCCTGGCTAGGGCTAGAAGTTTGTTTTGTTAGATTTAATGATCACGTTGGATTTAATGATAAGGTTTAAAAGTTCACTGGACACAGAGCCCCAGGGTGAACACCGGATTTTTACTTAGGCTCAGCAGAGATCTGGGGAGCTGAGGGCTTGGCCCAGCACAGCACATTCAGCCTCAGGAGGGCTTTGTCCCTGTTGAGCACCAGGTCACAGAAGCCCCTCGGCCATGCTTCACAAAGGTCACCAGAGTCCAAAGTTAAGTGTCATGTCCCAGCTCAGCTACAGTAGCTCACCCTAATCTCCCTGTAAGACAGGACCCCGAAGCTCTCCCCTTTCTAGACTCAGGGCTAAGACATCTTCTCTGCACTGTTTCCTTGTCCCCAAAGCCAAGGACTGGCTGCTTATCAGCCGAGTATGTTAGTCTGATCGATCATTTATGGTTAGAAACAACACACCTGTTTCAAGAGCAGCTGGGATTCCCAGGTGCTGCCGTCATATGCAAATGTAGGTCACCAAGGATGTTTAGAAGATGGTTCAGACAAATGTTGGCTATGGTAGAAAAAGTTCGATCAGAGCATGCGTGGAGAGGGCTTTGTATTGAACCAAATACATCAGTTATTTCCCTTGTTGCCATGACAAAAGCATCCAACAGGAGGAAGGGTTTATTTTAGCTTACAGTGCTAGGGGATACAATGCATCATAGTGCTGAAAGCAAGGTGATGGGAGTGAGAGGCTGCCTGGTCGTATTGTATCAGTAGTTGGGAAAGCAGGAAGAAATGAATGTCAGGGCTTGGCAACTTTTCCCTTTTCATGGAGGCCAGGGATTGGTACCTGCTTCCCAACCTCAATTAACCCAATCATCCCTCACTACATACCCAGAGCTTTATCTCCAAGGTGGTTCTAGTTCCTGTCAAGTCAACCATCAAGTGATCACACCAACTCTCTGTGTTTTTCTCTTATCTTTCTGTATCTACATCTCTCTTGTCTTTTTCCCTTACTGTCTCATTTGTCTCTCTGCTTCTGTCTCTCCTGTCTCTCTGTCTCCCTTTCTTGTCATTCTCTGTCTTTCCTATCTCTTTCTGTCTGTTTCTATATGTGTGTGGCTGTTTCTCTCTCTCTCTCTCTCTCTCTCTCTCTCTCTCTCACACACACACACACACACACAGAATCAAAGATAGACAATAGTATTTAATGTTGTAAATATAAAAACCTTAGACCCAAAAACAGTATTAGTGTTTTAGTACTAGTAGATAGTATTTAGCTGCTTGTATAACAGCCCAGTCAGAGGTTAGCTGCCCACTCGGTAGAATCCGCTTTACCTTGAGAGTCTAGCACTGCCTCTACCACCAGCACCACTGCTGGGAACCTACAGATTCACCCATTCTCCCCTCACAACAAGAGGCTCAGTACACAGGATGAGTTTTGGCTGTCATGTCACTAAGCAGAAATGTAGGCACCGACATAGGCACCGAGGTCACTTAAGAAATAGCCATGAGACAAGTCTTCCATTTGCCGTGTTGAGCCCCAGCTTCCCACAACTGGAACACATGCAGGTAGGGCAGGGTGTGTGTGTAACAGAGGTGGTGGTGAATCACATTGATTTCTAATTCTAAAGATTATAATTCTATCTAATCCTACCAATTCCTTCTTCAGATCAGACTCACAAATGAACACGATTCGGTGGTATATTCTTTGGACAGGGTTAACTGGTGCATTATTGATAGTCCCATGGATCGGGAAGGAGGCAAGAATGCTCGCTCCCACTAGGGAGCTGCAGCATCATCTTTTACGTGAAGGCAGGACAATAAGAGGGGTGCTGAAGGAGAAGCAGAGCCCCCCTCTGGCCACTTCCACCCCTCCATTCTCACACATCCTAAGGTCACACTTGTAGGCAAAGGCTGGTTATGCACTTTCCACACACCATCCGAGGGATGGAACAGAACAGAAAATGGAGAAACCAAGTTCCTATTCTCCATCACACAGAGAAGCCATTCAGTGTTGTGGGGAAGGGGGCGTGTCAGATCCTGCTTTTGTCTGCTCTCCTCCAAACAGTAAGAGCTTGTCTCTTGGTGTCTCCACCGCAAGGTTACTATGTTGTGGCCGTGGTTAAGAAATCAGACGTTGGCATCACCTGGAACTCTCTTCGAGGCAAGAAGTCCTGCCACACAGCAGTTGGCACTTCTGCTGGCTGGACCGTCCCCTTGGGTTTAATATACAACCAAACGGGGTCCTGCAAATTTGGTAAGTGTGTTCTCCAGGGGAAGTGGTGCCTTCCTTGAGCTTGTACCTGAGTTGGGGGGAAATTCAGTTCAGTGGAAGGCAAGGAATGTCCTAGGTAGGTATTTGGGCGAAGGGCCTGACAGACAGACGGTGAGCCCTACCTTTCCCTTTCTTTACAGCCACCTGCCCTCAGAGCTATGCACTCACATCAAAACAAGTGTGTGTGGAGAAAGGGGAGGAGTGAAAATGCCCCAGCTAGGTTTTTCTCCGGCTCCTACAAGAGCTCATCCTTTCTAATCTGGTTAAGAAAGAGTTGGGTTGCAAAAGGCAGTTCTTTCCCTGGTCTAAGCCCAATCTCTAAGCATTCACATCCAAGTGCGGCTCAATCGTCATGGGATGAATAACTGGGTTCTTGATATGCACTGGATAAAATGATGGATGCTACTGCAATAGGGTCTAAAGGGTGATAACTCCCAAACACAGATTTCTCCTTGACCTACAAATGCACGCACGCAGGCACACATACACAATCACATGCATGCACAGTTTCATGAAGTCTGCTTGGCCTCAAACTCATCATGTAGCTGAGGCTGACCTTGAACTCGCCATCCTCCTGCCTCCCAAGATCTGGGATTACAGGCATGTACCACCACATACAGCTCAAAGATTTGTCTAGTGTACTGTCTATTGCCATATCTTTTTAGGATCTCAAAGGCACATTAAACTCACCCTGTCCGAAACTGAGTTCTCTCATCCTACTCTGGTAATGTCCCAGAACTGCCTAGCATAGTGGAGGACGCTGGAGTCCTCTTTGACCAACAATGTCAGTTTCTCCTCCTCCCACCCATCTCTTGTTACTTTACTCTCATCTCTCCTGGCCCACTTCAGCAGCCTGCCACCTGAGCTGCGCATCAGCCCCTGATCCCATCCTCCTCTCGGTCAGCTAGACTTCTGCAGAGTGTGGATCAGACTGTGTGCCAATGCACTGAGCAAATCACTTCAGAGCCTCCTCATTTCTCTAGGGAGAAAGAACAGTAGCCACACAGTAAGATACCCTGGGGTCTTGACCAAAGCAAGCCCCTACCCCACTCCCCTCTCTTGATGGTCTACTTGAATGGCCTCCATTAAGATTTTCGTGCTATGACTGGACTCAGCTTCTCCACAGCCTTTTCAGTGGCCACTCCCTTGTCTGTAGGCTTCTACTCTCTCCCCCTCTCTTGGGGACAACCTACTCACCCCTCATCTCTTGTCTTGACTCCCAGGTCTATTGAGGGTCCCTCTGTCTCCAGTTTCATGGAGTCATAATCCTTCTTCCTAGAGCAAGAGGGGATATGCAGATCCATGGGTGCAGTTGCTTGAGTCCTGACAGGTACCCGTAGGTATTAGGGTGTAAGAAGGAGGGGCCCATGCTCAGTGTCCTTGGTGTAGTTCCCTGGAATCCAGTGCTAGGCCTGGAAGCCATGATTTTCTATTCCTTTCCTGACTTGAAGTCACAATGACAAACTTTGTAAGGGAAGACCAAGACAGCAGAGATCAGAAAACACGGGTGTAAGTTAAACAACCCCCCCCCATTTCCACTCTGTTAGGTCTAAATTATCTATCTGTCCCTCATCACCCCTGCCCTGTGTGGGGACAGGGGTGGACTTCTGTGAGCTCACAGTCTGGTCCATCTCAGCCAGTTCCTTTACGTTGTCTGTCTGCAATCTTTTCTTTTATTCTATAATGTTCTTGTTCCTTTTTAAAAAATTAGTTTTGCATGTATGATGTATGCATGTATTCATGTAGGTGTGGATACGTACATGTGCAGGCACACATGTGCACATATGTGCATGGATATTTTGCATGTATGGTGTATGTATGTGTTCATGTGGGTGTGGATGTGTGCACATATGTATGGCTGTTTTGCATGTATGATATATGTGTGTTCACCAGGGTGTGGATATGTGTACATATGTGTGCACATGTGTATGGATGCTAGAGGAGGATGTTGGATATCTTCTTCCATTGATCTCAATACTACCATTTTTTGTTTGCGTTCCTCTGTGTAGCCCTGGTGGTCCTGGAACTTGCTATGTTGATTATGTAGACAAAGTCAGAGATCCAACTGTCTCTGCCTCTTAAGTGCTGGCATTAAAGGCCTCTTGTCGTCAGAGGCTGCTTGTTCATTCCTGGCCACCCAAACCCGAAATAACCGCACAGAAATTGTATTAATCAAAACACTGCTTGGCCAGTTAGCTTAAGCATATTGCTAGCTAGCTCTTACATCTTAAATTAACCAATTTCTATTATTTTATATTTTACCCTGAGGCTTGTGGTTTACCGGTACCAGCGTGCAGGCATCTTTCTTCTCTGGTGGTTACTTGACTTCTCCCTGACTCTGTCCACTCTCTTTATATATCTTTTTCAGCCTGGCTATATTCTGTTAAGCCCTTGGCCAAAAGCAGCTTCTTTATTAACAAATGGCAATAAAATATATTTCTAGCACACAGAAAGGAATTTCACTTCACCTCCCCTTTTCTGTCTAAATAAAAAGGAAGGTTTTAACTTTAACATAGCAAGATTACATACAACAAAACTTATCAAACAATAATTATGGTTACAATATTTATATCTACTTTATCTTTTATCATAACTAGGGAAAACTATAATTATAACTATCTATTCTTCAATTCTATCAAAGACTCCAGAAGGATATAATTTTATGTAAGTAAACAGGAAGTCCATTGTAAGCAACTTCCAAAACTCTAGAATTGACAGAGACATCTTGCTGCCTGAAAAGTCACCCAAAGTTCTTATGTAACACTGGGGCACCCATCTTCAGCCTACAGGCCCATAGTATCTGGCAGGCTTTTCCAGTTTGTGTTACGGGCACTGTTGGGGACAAGCCCTGGGGCTTTCCCGCGATCACTGAAGAGCTGTTCTGGCTGTCCTTCTTCACAGATGAGTTCTTCAGTCGCAGCTGTGCCCCAGGGTCTAAGCCAGGCTCCAGTCTCTGTGCTCTGTGTGTTGGTGGTGACAACCCAGCCCACATGTGTGCTGCCAACAGCCATGAGGGATACCATGGCTCCAGCGGAGCTCTCAGGTTAGTATCTGTGCTCTTTTTTCTCTTGGTCTCGCCCCATCGACCCCGTCATCCCCTTATCCTTTTCATCATTCCAGTCCCTGGGTGTCAGTTTAAAAGGAGCCGGATCTGGAGAACAGAGTTACTGCAATTCCAGTTGTTTTATGGTCTGATATTCAGCCAGGTTCTGTTGTAGGAGGCCGCTTGTTTGTTCCCCGACTGCCCAGCAGCTTAGCTCCAAAATAACAACTTCAAAAATTGTATTAATTAAATAACTGCTTGGCCCATTAGCTCTAAGTTCTTATTGGCTAACTCTTACATCTTAATTTAACCCATTTCTAGCAATCTGTATATCACCCTGAGGCTGTGACTTACCTGGTAAAGTTCTGACATCTGTCTCTGGTGGGGCTACATGACTTCTCCCTGACTCCACCTCCTTTCTCCCAGCATTCAGTTTAGATCACCCCTCCCTACCTAGCTCTATCCTGCCCTATCAACAGGTCAAGGCAGTTTCTTTATTCACCAATGGTATTCACAGCATACAGAGGGGAATCCCACATCAAGGATCTAGAGAGAGTAATCCCTTGGCCCAGCTGCCTGAGGGCACTTCAGGGGCCTGGGCAGGGCAGGATTGGGGGTGCAGAGTCTACTTTCCCTCCTTTCTTCTGTGTGACTGTAGATGAGCCATGGGCTCTGTTAGAGTTCAGCTGTCAATCACAGGAGAGACCCAGACACCTGCTTCCTACATTCAGTTGCTTGAATATCTTTTATAATAGATCTGTCTAGGCTCCTCCAACCATTTAAGAAAATGGAGACGTACCAGGTGCTGTTTTAGGTAGAGGCATCTTGTCTACCCCATGCCCCAGTGGAGGAGCAGGACAGTAAGCACACAAGCAAGCAGGATTCTTCTCAACGGCACATGCAGTAGAGGGACCAGGGGAGACATTGTTAGGGAGCTTTTCATCCTTGTAACAAAATGCCTGAGACTCTCAACTTGTAAGGAGAAAAAGTTCATTTTGTCCCATGGTCTTAGAGCTTCTAGTCTGTGACCAAGTAGAATCAGCATGGTCCAACCATTCCTTTCAAAGGCATGCCCCAGTGACCTCAGGATTTCTCACAAGGCCCCAGCTCCTCTTGGTTTCACCTCTAAAACCATCTCCTCAGAACCATGCTATTTTTAAAATTTGAGTTTAAACTTTATTTTAATTTTGATATGTATATGCGTGTCCATATCTCTGTGTGTGTCTGTGTCTATTTCTGTGTGACTGTGTCTATGTGTCTGTGTGAATATGATCATGTATATACAGATGCCTAAAGATGCCAGAAGAGGGCATCAGAGACCCTGGAGTTGGAGGTATGGGCGATTGCCAGCTGCCCCACATGTGTGTTGGGAATTGAACTCTGGTTTTTCTGGAAGAGCAGTAAGTGCTCTTAACCACTGAACCTTCTCCCCAGCTTCTGGATCCAAGCCTTGTCATGTACTTTGGAAGATGGTCAAGAGCCTCACACAGTAGGGATTGATGTGGCGGTGACCAGGACAGGGGACAGCTTTAGAAAAGTACATGGGGAAGGCGTTTGAGAGCAGAGGGATCAGGAGAGCAGAGAACTAAATAATGAGAGGAATTCAGCCTGAGAGAATCTGTAGCCAGGGTCATCTAGAAGTAAGCCAACAAGACTTATGAGGGCATGGGCGGCGCTCACCACACCACAGTGAGGACAACAATAGAGGTTTGCAGACTGGAGTGTGGAGAAGGAGGGCTCTGGGTTGTGACCTGCTGGGTCAGCATCTAGTGGCCATGTCTGATGAACCCTGTAAACCTGGCTGAGCAGGCAGACTGAGTTCTAAGCATGATGAGCCAAGCTAGATGTGTTCTGATGGCGGGGCGGGGGTGCTGGTCGAGTAAAAGCTGTGTAGGTGGCGTGTGGTGGACTAGAAAATGCTCCCGTCCCCATATACACCAGGAGAGTACCCTGCCCTCCAAACTTTTCCCTCTCTTATCAGTCATGGACTAGTGACAACAATATCTGCTGAATGTTAAATCCAGGCCAAACTAGCTTGAAACTTTTTATATCGTGAGGTATATTGTATTAGGTTTGACCCAACATCAATACTTTTTCAAAGAAAAATTTGATTCTCTCTCTCTCTCTCTCTCTCTCTCTCTCTCTCTCTCTCTCTCTCTCAGTGTGTGTGTGTGTGTGTGTGTGTGTGTGTGTGTGTGTGAGAGAGAGAGAGAGAGAGAGAGAGAGAGAGAGAGAGAGAGACTTGTACACGATAGTGTACATGTGAAGATGAAGACAATTTGAGCCAGTTGGCTCTCTCTTTCTACTATGTGGGCTCCAGAGATCAAACTCAGATTGCCAAGTTTGATGGCATGAGTCTTTTTCCCCCAAAATAAGACAGAACCTTACTATGCAGCTCAGACTGGCCTGAAAATTATCAGGAGCACACAGAGAACCATCTTAGCTCCAGATATCTCATTCACTATTGCCATCTCACTCCCCCAGCCTCATTCATCCCGGTACACTCCAATTCTGGGAGTACTTCCTGTTCTCACGCCTGCAGCCACATCCTGTTTTCCTACAGTCCACCCACACACATTTAATGACCAGTCATGGTCATTGTCCTTCTGCCCTCAGTGCCTATCCCTCCTTCTGGCTAAACTATGAAATTGGTGGACGGAGGCCTCCAGCTGTCTGGCTTCCTTTTCAAGCAATGAGGACCAAATTCAAAAGATGCATGCTTCTGGGTTTCTACTGCTTCCTAGGAGACAAAGCAATTAGAAGAGAGGAAGCCCACAAAGCCTCAGTACTGGATCAGCTTCAGGGCAGTATCTGCCAGCACCGGTACCCTTGGATGCTGTCTCCCAGCCTTCATTCTGGACACTTGTCCTCTCCTGGCAGAGCCCAGTCCTGTACCCGTAGAGACAGCCTCTCCTGTCCATTCTAAGGGCATCACCCCATCAATTCTCTTTCTCCTGCATCAGCACATTCTCTCTTCCTAAGTACTATGCCATAACCAATGAACCATCAGGGTTCCATACTTTCTTGTTTACTAGGTCATTCCCAGCAGCTTGTAAACATGCTGTTATTCTTTCAATCAAACAAAAGATGAATTCAAGCAACCATGTCTTCTTCACTCTTTGCAACAAAAAATACTTGAAGTTAAATATCCTTGCTCACTCCATTTTCTCTCCTTTCAATTTCTTCAGAACCCAGTTTAAGAATCTGTTCAAGGACTGGGGAAGATGGTTCAGCTGGCAAACCACTTACCTTGGGTTTGATTCCCAGCACCCATATGGCAGCTCACAAACTTGTGTAATGCCAGTTCCTGGAGGATCTGACGCCCTCTTCTGGTCTCCATGGGCACTGCATGCATGCTGTGTACAGCGTTTTATGCAGGCAAAACACTCATACAAATAAAATAACAAAAACCAGAGAAGGCATTTAAATGGTAATGAAACAGTTCTGAAATCAAAGAAAGATTAAAATTATATGAGAACAAGTATAACTGTGGCAGATGCTTGTTGAGGTCACAGGTGGGGCTGCAATCAGAGTACCTGGTGAGGACCTGCCCCTGGGAGACCCAGCTTCCTCTAGCTAGACAGTAGAAGAGGAAACAGTTGGCAGGTCTTGGAGAGGACCACAAGGAAAAAGCCACCATATGATTCCTGTGTTTTCTCTGGGTAGCAGGAGGCACAGTGTATGCATTCTGGGAGGAATTGGAAAGGCATAGATTAGTGGGAGGTGAGAAAACCACAAAGTGAGTGAGTGGTGGTCTGATGATGTAGTTCTCAGAGTGATCATGACTCAGACTTGGGGGTGGGGTGGGGGGCTTGGGAAAGCAGATTTCATGTCACAATGTCCACACTCTCCCATTCACCCATCAGGCTAGTAGGGATCAAGTACCTGCACCAAGTTTTCAGGATGCTGGTGCTCAGGTACTTGCACTGAATTTTCAGGATGCTGATGCTCAGGTATTTGTACTGAGTTTCTAGGATCTGATGCTCAGGTACCTGTGCTGGGTTTCCAAGATACTGATGCTCAGGTACCTGCACTGGGTTTCCAGGATGCTGGTGTGATGGATGAGCCTTAGCTTCCAGCTCTGAGGACCACTGATCTGGAGTAGAGAATAGAGACCAGGAGTGTACCTTTGAGACTAAAGAGCAGGCGGTCTTGCTCGGTCTGCCTTGCCCTGAGGTGCCTACTGATCTAAGTCAGGTGACCATGCCCATTCAGGAGTGGAATTCTGTAGGAAGAGCCCATGAAGAAAAGAAGTAAGGTGGGGGTTTCCATGAGTCTGAATGGGCACAACTGACCCCAGTTATAGACAGAGTGACCTGAATTCAAGAGAGAAAGAAGCCTGGGGAGGAACTGGTGATAGTGTCTCACAGTGCTGACAAATTCCTAAGAGAACATCTTCAAGGAGTTTTCGCCCATGGTTTCCATCCATGGTCACCTTCTTCCACTGCACAGGCCTGAAGTGACACGGAGCATCATGATGGAAGAGTGGAGGGAACAAATGGCTCCCTCAGAATGGCCAGGAGGAAGCCAGTGTGGGACAGGATGGGAGAGACAAGATATGCCCTTCAAAGGCGTGACCCCCCCAACCTCCTAAAGTTCCTACCAACTGACACCAATTAAGGACTCAGTCTTCACCACACAAGCCTGGGGGTAACATTTCATATTCAAATCCTAAGTGTCCCTGATAATCACTAGACATTTCCATCAAGCTGATATCACAGAATTCATTTCCTGACATTTTTTTTGTACACGGGTGCACATTTCCCCATGGGATTAAGGATCAGTCCTGTCTAGAGATGAATGTCACTGTTATCAGCTGAGTGACACATGAGTGCAATATGACTCCTCCACAGCTATGGGTCCACACTGATTGTAGCGTCTCGTGGTGCTGCTACACCACGTGGGTTTCTCCCTACATGTCTCTGTTAATGGGAGAACACAAGTGGTGGGAATTTAAAACAAGGACCCGGATGGTGGTGTTTACAAATGCAAGTCGTTGAGCAGTTCTGTCTTCCCATTGCTTTTGTCATCTGCCACCCAAGGGCCCTGCAGGAGCTAGAGTTGCTTGTGTGGGAGTTGGGGAGCCTGGGGAAGGGGTGTGACTCCCCCTGGGCAGCTCCCTTTCACTTCTGTTGATCCTCATTGCTGACCTGGCCCTTGTTGTGCAGGTGTCTGGTTGAGAAGGGGAACGTGGCCTTCATGAAGCACCCCACAGTTCTACAGAACACTGATGGTAGGTGCCTGCACTGGGCTTTCCTTCCGTGGAGTCTTCCTGGCAGGGTGGCTCCCCAAGACACAACTGGGGAAGTTTAAGAGCTAAACCTAGCAGGCCCCAGTGAATGGGTCCTAGCATTTTAAATTAATCTCACATTTTAACTTACTTCAAATCTGTTCAGGCTCGGTGAGGCTAATTATCATCCTGGCCTTGACCCCAGATGAAAAAAACACACAGAGCCCATGGGCTGTGTGAGGATGTCTGACTCTCTGATGGACAGACATTCTTTTGATATTCCAGATCAAAGTTCTGGACCAAAGCTGTAAGCTGTGGCTGACCCATCTTTTTCTCCCTAGGGAAGAACCCTGAGTCTTGGGCTAAGGGCCTGAAACCGGAAGACTTTGAGCTGCTGTGTCTTGATGGCACCAGGAAGCCTGTGACCGAGGCTCAGAGCTGCCACCTAGCCAGAGTGCCAAACCATGCTGTGTTCTCCAGGAAAGATAAGGTCGACTTTGCTCGCAGAATACTCTTCAACCAACAGGTATGGGCACCGGTGCCTACTTCCTATGACTCAGTGCTAGTTCCCAGAGCTGTGCTGACACCATGCACCCAACTCATACTCTTTCTCCATGAGGAGAGAGCCCTGGGCCTCCTCGTCCTGCCTCTGGTTGTATCTGATGCCCATTTATTCTGTAGCTCTCTAAGGAGCTAAGAGAGCAGCCTGGGATTCATTGCCCTTAGTAAACACGCAGAATCTCGTAGGCCTCTTCAATTTTCCATGAGATTCAATCCATTCTCTCTTCGGGTGTAATAAGGGATCCATTGACTCACTGACTGAGTTAAGCGTAGGTAAAGCGAAACAGTGGCTTCTCTAGCTAACTTGTGGGTCAATCTGAATTTGTCTCCATAACCTGGATAAGCTGGGCATCGTCTGAAGTTAAAGAGCCAAACATCTAGACACTTTCTGACCTTACTGGGAGCTGACAGGATCTGATCTTTTGGAGTAGGAGATACCTAACCTAAACAGTCTAAAGGAAAACCCATAGTCTCCTCTGTCTCTTGAGGAGACACTACACTCTTGGAGGTTCCCCAAAGGAGAAATCCATGTTTCCCCTTCACATCCCTGTTAAAGGATAGTGGCCCAGTATCCCAGTTTGCTTCTCTTTGCTGGGCTAAGACCACACTAAAAGCAACTTTGGCACAGAAAGGGTTTATGTGGCTTATGAGTTATAGTCCATCACTGAGGAAGCCAGGTAGGAGCTGGAGGCAGGAACCGAAGTGGAGACCATGGAGGATCACTACTTACTGTCTTGTTCTGGGCTCACATAAAGCTATCTTTCCTGCATTGCCCCAGCCTACCTGCTGAGAAATGGTACCACTTGCAGTTAACTGGGCCTTCCTATATCAACTATCAAAAAAAAAAAAAGCCCCATCGATGTGCCTATGGTCAATCTGACAGAGGCTTTGGTTAACTGAGAAACCCTCTGCCTAGCCGTGTCAGATTGACAACCAAAATTAACCCTCACACCCAGGAAAACCACTAAAGTAAGTATCTTGACTGTGGAATCTACAGGGGAAAGTCTCCCAGAAGACAAGCTGCCATGTTAGCTACAAGGAAGGTAAACTAAGGCAGGCAGGCAGGATGGAAATATGGAACTGGCTGAACTCCAGAGAACAGAAGGGGCAAAGCAGCAAGAGTCCACCTCAGGCAGTGGACGGACCTGGGAGGGCGATCCAGACATCTGGGGAAGCACCTGGCACGGACTAGCTAAGTAGTGACGTCTGGCCAGCTTTCTAATTACATGCCTCTACATACATTGTTGCACATGTGATATTACTGTCTCCATTCACAAATGAGCAGACTGAGGTTGACTCAGCTTTGCGAAGAATTCCCCTAAGTTCGCATAGCAAGGCAGAGATGAAGCCAGGATGCCAACCTGTGGACCATGCTTTCTGTTACTACAGTATTTCCTAAGCTGTTGTTGTGTCCTGGGGTTCTCCAAGGGCTGGAGCTGAACAGTGCCGAAGCCTTTGGTCTACTAGACAGAGTTGACACCTCTCTGTTTTCTGGCACCTCGGTCACTGTCTGTCTGTCTCAATTCAGGAGCTCTTTGGAAGAAATGGATTTGAAAAAATGATGTTCCAGATGTTTGACTCCTCAGCCAAGGACCTGCTGTTCAGCGATGACACGGAATGCTTGTCTAACCTTCAGAACAAGACAACGTACGAAACATACCTAGGACCACAGTACCTTACCCTGGTGGACAACTTTAGGCAGTGCCTGTCCTCTGGTAAGTAGAACGGAGCACCGAGCAGAAATAACACAAGGTTCAAAGTCAGTATGTTTATATCAAGAACTCAGACGTGTCAAGTTCTCAGCTGGCACGGACAAGGGCGTGGAGAAGCGGAAACTTTCTCCTGGCCTTGCAGAAGGATTCCGCTACCATTGAATCGATTCAGCTAGACAAGAGTGAAAGGCACAGTCTATGAAATGCTAGATTGTCTGAAGGAGGCGAGAAGTGTTCCAGAACTTGAGAGCACTTGGTAACGAAGGTCTTCGTCTTCTCCTGTGTATTTGCACTATTGCTATCATCTGGGGGCTTGGGAAAAGGCACAAGCTGTATTTACCACGGGACTGACGGAAGGACCGATGACAGACTGATTTCTGAACGTTTTATATTAAATTCACAAAATGAATAAAAACAAATACAGCATGGTTAGCACTAAAGAAGTCTTGGTATAAGTATTTTAGATGGAATAGCTGTCTAAAAAGAAAGAAACTGGGAAAATAAAATTAAAACTGAGAGAATAGAATTATTGGGCATAAGCCTGAATTTTTATAGCATTATGTTGTGTGCTAGAGATACTGAAAGCGGGAAGAAAGGGCAGTACAGAGAGTGTGAGGTCTTAAATCATCTCAGTTCACCATGACTTACTTTTAGAAGACAGAAGAGTTCCTGACATGTTTTCAAGAACTTTGCTCTTAAGAACACAGGACACTGGAGCAGAGAGGATTGTGGGAATGATGGTCTTTTCTTTTGTGTTTCACTTCACAGAACTGCTCGACGCTTGCACGTTCCACAGACATTAACCCCATTCAGCCGGGGTCTCACAGGATCAGGGGTCCTGATGGTTTTTCTCCATGTGGATGCGTGCTGACATCTTTATAACTCGATGTCATAATTGGAGCGAAAAGAATTCCGACAAATAAAAAATCTCTTCCCAGAAAGCTTCACCGAATGTTCTTAGATTTGGGACAAATAAGACTTTTTAGATTAAATTTGAGCTTCTAAGGTTAGTAGCTACTGAAATTTCTATCTTACAAGCTGGTGAGATGGCTCAGGGGGCAAAGGCAGCGACCTGAGTTTGATCTCTGGGACCTGCACAGTGGAAGGAAATAGTGGACTCCAACAAGCTGTCCTCTGACCTCCACACGGACATAAGGGCACGAGTGTGCCACCGTGCACCAACACACACAAATAAAGGAGTGTTAAAAATACACCTTTGGGGCGATGACCAGTGGGTTAGCGTTTACTTTGGAAGCACGAGAACTTGAGTTTGGATCCCCAGAATCCACGTGAAAACCGAGTGTGGCTTCGTGTGTCTGTGATCTTGGCATTGTAAAGAGATAGGTGGAACCCAGGGCTTGTGGTCACCTGGTCTAGCTGAGACAGTGACACTCAGGTTCCTCAAGAGACCCTGTCTCAAAACAGTAACGGGAAGAGTGACAGAAAAAGACACCTGGTGTCAAACTATAACCTCCACATGTTCATACATGGGACTGTGCTTACGTAGAACATGCACGCACATGCACACACACACACACGGGGGGAATTTTAAAAATAATATACTTTTAAAAGAGCTCAACCTAACTAATTTGACTTGTCCCCTCATACCCTGATTCTTTTACACAAGAGACAAATCATTCAGTTATAATTTGAACAACAAATCTGTCTGAATACCATCCAATCAGTGACGATAAGATCACACACACACACACACACACACACACACACAAAACCCTATCAGTGTGTTCATCAGAGACAGCTTACATAATAACAAGAAAGGACAAGGAATGATCTTGTGTATTTTTAAAACGCAGTTTGGGGCTTTGGGAGAACCTCAGCTTGGATCCCCAGCACTCATGTAAAGGGCTAGGTAGAGTGTCTGGGAAAACAAAAACAGGATCATTCCCAGAGTTCCCTGGGTGACCAGGCTAGCTGAATGGGTGAGCTTCAGGTTCAGTGAGAGACCCTGTCTCAAAAAGTAAAGCAGAGAGCAATAGAAGCCAACACTAGACTTTGACCTCCGGTCTCCACATGCATGTGTATATACAGGCACATGCACCCCCCATATTCATACATAAAACATCATCTTTTGACATTTTAAATTAATGCCAAAGGCGATCAAAGTCTGTTATTGTTTCCTGAAAAATATTAAAATTATGGCAAACATTGTACCTGACTGCTTGTTCAGTCAACTTTCTAAAAAGTGTGATGCACGAGACACTTGCTTCTTTTCAGTTCTTATCAGAAATGTCACCATCTCTAGTTATTTCTACAACGCCAGCTTGTGACAGCCTCTTAGCAAGTGTGGACTTGGAGCTAAGATTATATGTCGCTAAAAGTCAGATTTCTACAAGTGAGTGAAGGAGTGGCCGGAGCAGGACGCACCCGCTTCACAAACACCTGAAGAGCAGGAAAAGAATACATGAAACAGCTCGACAGCAGGGAATTTGGAACCATGGAGGAAGGGAAACAAGAGCTGGGATGATGATGACCCCGCCTTCTGCCAGTCTGAAGTTTCCAGAAACAGAGATAGAAATCTGAGTCAATGTGACCGGCATCAAGTGCCAAACAGGATGGAACTTTGCAGGGGAACTGTTCATGGCCCACACTACAGTGTCCTTGATGAACCTGCACCAGTACAGACTGAAATTAAAACCCAACACAGTACAGGGGACTCACAACACATGTCACTGTAGCCCTGGGCAATCCAGCCTCTCTTCCAGCCTTGGCAGGCATCTGCATATGTATGTGCTCACATACTTCACACACACACACACACAAATACATACACACACAGGAACACAGACACACACACAGACATACATGCACACAAGACTAAAGGCAAAAGTCTACCGATAACAACTGTTTTGTTCAAAGACAGATCATTATTATTTCAGATAAGTTAATAAAGTTCATCAAACTGTTTTGTTATGTTCTTAGTGTTTGTAGACTGTGTAGTGATACCCTGGCTTCCATTCTTGACACGAGGGATGTATTTCTCTCTTTGATCACTCTAGCTAAAGCTGTGTGGATTTTACTCTGCATTGCCAGGAACAGACATTTGGTTTTATTAATTGTCACAATTCTTTCTCTATGTTCTATCTAATTTTTTCATTGTGGCCCTTTTGTTTTGCTTTCTGTGTATTTTTCATTTAATCTTCATTTTTGATTCTTTAAATTTATGATTTGTGCATATTAGTTATATGGAATAGAAGTTTTATGGTAATATCTTCACACATATATAATAAACTTGGGTTTTATCTATCCGCCCACCACCCTCATTTACCTTTCTCCTCTTCTTCTCCATCCTTCCGTTTCTCTGATAAGTCCCTTCTGATTTTGTATTATTTTATTTTTGATAGTTTCTACACTTGAGAGAAAACATGTAATATTTATCATTCTGAGCCTTGTTTATCACATTTTGCATCATGCTCTGCAGTTTCTCCAATTTCCCCACAAGTATTATGTATCATGATTTCCTTTTTCTATGAAAACTCACTTTGTGTGTGAGAATGCATGTGCCCACATGTGCGGTGTGTGTGTGTGTGTGTGTGAGTGTGTGTGTGTGTGCATGTGTTTGTGTTTGCATGTCCATCCTTTATTTTCCTTATTCATCTGTTTGCTGGACATCTAGGCTAGCCCTTGACTTGGTCATTGTGGATCGTGCATAGATAAACAGATGTACAAGTGTCTCTGTGCACTGACTTAGATTCCCTTGGGTATATAAGCAGGAGTGGTACAGCTGAAGCACATGGTACTTCTGATCTTAGTTTTGCATAATGGCTGGAATAAATTACTCCCCTGTCAGTGATGTATAAAGAATTCTACCCACTCCCAACTCAGCTCCTTCCCCTCTCTTAAATTATCTTTTCCCCTGTCATAGTTGCTTTTCTTGTTTTTATAACCTACATAACTCCCATAAGTAAATAAATGCACACACACACACATTCAAATATAGACAGTAGCTTTAAGAAATGTGTATGTGTGTTTTGCCAGCATGTATGTCTATGTACCACTTGCATGGGACCTGTGGATACCAAAAGAAGGCATTAGATCCCCTGGGAGTGGAGTTACAGATGGTTGTGAGCCACCATGTGGTTGCTGGGAATCGAACCTGGGTCCCCTGGAAGAGCACCCCGTGTTCTTAACTGCTGGGGAGTCATTTCTCCAGTCAATCTCTAGGAGTGTTTTGTATTCAAATTCATTTCCATCTTCTTGATTCAAAGCTGGTAGTTTTAACTTCATACGTTATAGTGAAGATTCTGGGACCAGAAATTCACAAAATGGAGCTACAGTTTTGAGAAGCTACAGTCAAAGCCATGTCTAGTCTAGAGAGTTGGAAGGAAATGGTGGCTCCAAGACAAAGTCCTCCAAGTGTTTTCCCAGCTGCAGAGCTCTAGTCCACTGGTCTTTATCTAGCCAGTTAGCTGCGAGATTTTCTTCTTCAACTCATTCAACTTTCAGAGCTGATGTATCCGTGGAATGCTATGGGACCCTCCCTTCCCCAGCCCGGAATTCAGTCTCCAGAGAGGCAGCAGGAAAGTCTTGGGTTATGCGGGCTAGTTTTATGTCAACTTGACACAAGCTAGTCATTTGTCAAAGGGAACCTAAGCTGGGGAAATGCTCCCACCAATCAGCTTGTGCACAAGCCTGTGGTACTTTTTCTTGACTTACGGTTGATGTGGGAGGCCCAGCTCATGGTTAGGGGTGCCACCTTTGGGCAGGTGGTCCTGGGTTCTGTAAGAAAGCAGGGTGAGCTAGCCATGAGGAGCAAGCCAATAAGCGCCACTCTTCCATGGGCTTTGCTCCAGTTCCTGCCTCCATGCTGATGCCTTGAGTTCCTAGCCTGACTTCCTTTGATGATGGTCTGTGATGTGGAAGGGAAAGTGACGTAAACCCTTCTCTTGCCAAGTTGCTTTTAGTCATGGTGTCTTATCACAGCCATAGAGACCCTAACTCAGACAGGTTCAGGTAGTTTCCGGGGCAGAGGACTTATTCTTTAGGGGTCCTGTGCCATCTCCCTGAAGACTGTCCCAGAGGAAGCCACAGACACACCAATCCTTTATGCCAGGGGTTCTGGAAGATTCTCTTTCAGAGTTTCCCCAGCTACAAAATCTCCAGGTTGTTTGCCAAAGCTTTAGACACCATTGACTCTAATGACCTTCAATCTCTGTTACCATTCGCTCCACCAGGAAAGGCAGCCTTGCAGTCCTACACGACGCAGAGCTGGGGCAAGATCTTGAGACTTTGGTCCAATTGGTGCCTTTTCCTGGCACTGGGAACTGCAGTCAAGGGTCTTCACCCCCTCCCAATCTCAGGATCTTGGCAAAAACAACAGAGATTTTTGCACATCGAGGTCCTAATGGGCCCTACTGAGGATTACTAAAATCTAAAGACTCTCGCCTCAGTCACACACACAGTCACACACACACACACACACACACACACACACACACACACACACCTTTGCCTACAGCTTATGCACATTAATAGTCCCAGTTCAGAGAATCTTCTGAGACTTCTCCCTTCTTTCTTCCTGGAGGAGAAGAGCGGAAACGGAGGCTTGTTAATTTATCTTAGGTAGCTGCTAACCTGCGAGACTGGTAAGTTTTACTAAATAATACATACAGAGAAGTTATGTAGTGCACAAAAGGATGTATCCATGAGTCTCATTCCTGACAACCAAAAAGATCAGGACATCCAATGGTAGGAACCAACGGCTAAGCACCAATGGCTTGTAAGTCTGTGGCTTTGTATAGATAGGTCAGAGGCTTAATTCGGACATGCTGAGAAAGAAATTGGACTTCGGTCCTTTCTTTCCATGGAGAGTAGGGACATTAAACAACGCGTAGACCTTGGGAACAACAGAGAGATCAGTGCTGTGTTTGGTTTGGCCCTGGAAACACTGGACTCTGTTCAGGTCAGCTGGCTACCTGTCTGTAAGTCCACCTGAAAGCCCTGAGTCTTAACTTCTCTTGATGAAAAAACAATGAGAATTAAATTCTGAAATAAACCTGGGGGAAAACATGAATGGTACTTTCCAGGAACAAGATAAAGGGGACAGCTCAGGACATCCCGGTGTCTAGGTTCCAGTGTCCTTGCCCTACTGGGCAGCAGACCAGCTATATCCACTGCCTGGCCCAGGAGGTTTTTTTTTTTTAATCTGTGAATTGAGGTTGTTATTCTGGGTGCTCTCTCATCCTGTGTCTTGCTGAGGGGCCCAGTAATAATGGAAGGACTCATGATTGCTACACGTCAGACAGAGCCTGCATCTCAGTAGCAAGGTCAGTAGTTGTCATAACAACAAGGAAGATATTTGCATTTTTATTGCTAATGAGATAATGGAGCTTAAGATTCAAAAGTCTGCCTGTTTTTAGATGCCTTGTTTGTGGCCTAAATCTGAGGTAGAGTCTGTACATGTTCACTGCTCCATGGGTGGCCCATGAGAGGACCCAGTCCAGGTCAGGTGTATGGGTGGAACTCATGGGTGGTTTGTATGCAGGAAAGCAAACAAACCCCAACAAAATCTGTTTGATTTCTTCCAGCGTGCACTGTCTAGCAGCTAGTGATCATCTCCTTTGAAGAGATCCCTGAGAAAAACGGTACCTGAGAACTGAGTCCATGGGAGGCTGAAGCGGGTGGGTGGTTGTGAGTTTGAGGCCAGCCTGGTCTACAAATTAAGGTCCCAGCCAGCTGGGGAGACACAGCGAGACCGTGTCCCCACAAAGCAAAACAAGCAACAACAAAAACAATAAAAATAACCACTACCAACCAAATGGTACCTGAGGAGTGAGGCTCAGAGGACTGTGCCCACAGGACTTACCAGGACTGTATATATTGGACAGAGTGTAGACAAAAATAAGACCAGCAATGTCTCAGCGCTGTATTAGGTCAGTCGCTCATTTATATCCTGGGATCGGACCCTGCGGTCTCTGCAGTTACCTGTGCTCACATGCATACCCTCTGCACCCTGCCACATACGTGAAAATAAAAATAAAAGGTGGGTGGGAGAGATGGCTCGGTGGTTAAGATTCCAGAAGACCTGAGTTCGATTCCTAGCACCCACACCAGACAGCTTGCTAATTTAGACCCTATAACTCTATTAAATAGGCCAAAAGGGAAAAAAACAAAAAAGAAACCACACACATAAAACAGGGTCTCATGTATTCCAGGCTAGCCTCAAACTTATTATACAGCTAAGGCTGGCTTTGAACTCCTGATCATCTTGTCTCTCCTTCCCAAGTGCTAGCATTACATAGGTGCACACTGAGGGGGTCTGTGTTTCTGCATGCACATATGTGTGTCAGAGGTCAAATTTGGTTGTTTCCATAAGTCACTCTCCACCTTATATTTTTTAAGACGGAGTCTCTCACTGGACTTGCAGTTCACCAGTTCAGCTAGGCTGGCTGGCCAGCGAGGTCCAGCAATCCTTCTGTCTCTGCGTGCCCAGTGTTGGGAGTACAGGTGTGAGCGGGGATTAAAGGTGTGAGCTGGGGGTCATAGGCGTGTGCTGGGATTACAGGTGTGAGCTGTTGCACAATCTAGTGACATTACCAGTCCTCCCTGTTGGATGAGAAACGGATGTATGAGGAGCTTCAGGGACTGGCTTAGTTCACTGTCTAATCTACAGGTCTTCACTTGTAGAAGTGAATGATCAAGAACTTTGGCCTTAGTGGTGTGACTAAGGAGAGGGAGAACCAGGATGCGACCATCTCTTGTCCCTGTCTGGTCTTTCCCTCTGGGACCTCCTCCCGTGTTTGAATAGGCCCCTTCTACTGGGGTCGCGTTGTGGAGGCTTTCTACAAATTAGGATCTGGGACCGACTTTACTCCTCTCTTTGAGGTTGGTTCTCGCTGTGTTAGAAATTCCGGGCTCCTTGCAGTCTCATCTTCTGGCCCACTTCACGGTTCTCAGGATCTCCTGCCT